ATTCCACTAGCTGGGCCCACGTCCTCATTGTAGGTTTGACAGCGTTTTAGTAGGTAAAGGTGAATGCTTGGACATGAATTGAGCTGCGGTTTGGGGAAGGCCTCGAAGGGGACTGGCGACAGCTCCTGGGCCTGACAGATCCCCACGTACTAAATAGGAGTGAAGAAGTTAAAGAATTGAGAACAAGGAGGGAGGGAGGGTGGGGCACGTAAACAAGAATGAACAGTTTCCAGAACTGGGGGGAACCTATATAGATGAAGGAGAAGGAGGCGTGGTCCCGCTTCTGAAATTCCGATACATAATATCCAATTATATAGCGCAAAAGCATTGTAAGGTAAAGACCCTCCAATATTACAGGGAAACCACAAAAAACAGAGAACAGCCAATCAGTAAGCACTTGGCGAAAGTGGAAAGGAAGAACTCCCTTTTAATGGAAAGAAACCTCCAGCAGAACCAGGCTCAGGGCAGGATAGCCATTTGCGATGACTTGTTGGAATCGTGAATATTACATGGTTTTGAACCACACTGAATATCCATTAAATTAAAAAAATTAAATAAAGTAAAACAATATCAGAGTATAGTGCACGACCTAAATATGTAGTGGAAATGCAAATTGCTACAAAGCGCACGCCTCGCAACCCAGAGAATTGTCTTATTTCACGCATTATGTGTTATTTGCACCTTTGATGGATGTCTGCACAATGTCTCCATAAACAAACGCGCAAAGAGACAGAGAGTGTTTAAGTGCATATGTCGCTGCCCACATTTCTGCCTGTAATGAATGAGAAACTGTTATGCATTGCATATGTCTAGATGATCTGTCATGTCTGTCATCCTCTGTTTCGCATTCATCACCTGGCATATCCTGATACTTTCTAGATTTGAGGAGAGATATGTTGCTAAGGCCCCTTGTCTTTATTTCCTCTTTAAATTGTTGTAATATGTTATAATAATAAAAAGCTTACTATAAAGGGCATATTTTGTGGACAAGCATTATTCATATTACAGGGTGCTGAATGCACGCCACCAGTAAAATGGATTGTACTCATTATGAGACCGCTATGAACAAAGAATCTGTGATTGAAAAGCTTTATTTCATGCTCAGCAGACTTGTAAATGAAGGGTCGCATGTAGTGAAAGGAGGAGGTTGTTGTGTGTGTGCTTCTTTTGTTTTAATACAGTGCTATGCAAAAGCCTCGAGCCACCCCCCATTTCTTTATATTTCGCTAGGAAAATTGGAAATGTGTACAAATGGGTGCAGGAAGTTATTGAAAAATGTGTAAACATAACTTGAAATACAGTACTTAAGGGAAAAACGGCATTTGCACAATTGTAACAAGCTTGAAAGTCAATATTTGGTGTGACCACCTTTATTCTTCAACACAGCTTTAAGTAATTTCTTTCTTCATCTTTCTTAGTCTTCAGGAATAGTTCTCCAGGCTTCTTGGTTTCCATTCAAAGATGAGCCCACGTTGGGCTCTTGGGAGGCTATGTTGTGTTTTTGACCAACAAGATATGCCTTTTAATATTTTAGCAATTGTTGTGTTACAAAATGAAGTCATTTCACCAATGAGATTTTTTCCTCATAGTATTGCATGGTGGATCGAAGTTTGATGGTACTTTTCTGAGTTCATAATTCCATTCCATCAATTCCACCATGACATGATGATGTAGACATTCACTGTTGTACCTCACTGCTGATCTCCTGTGCACATACCAATGACCATTTGAACCAAAAAATTCATCTTGGATTCATTACTGTCACTGATTTTCAATCAAATGTAATTTGACAGCCTCCCTTCCAATGATGAACTTCGGTCAACAGTAGAAAGATCAACTGATGGGCCAGCTGCATTTTACAGTTCGTGTGTCAGGTCAAGGATTTATTCCTGTTTCATAAGGACATGACTTGCAGATGCTGTTCATTTGCTGAAATGTTTTTTCTTAGGCCTGGCACACCTTTTGTCCAACACTTGTCCAGTTTCCTCAGATTGTTTTAAAGCCATACTGCACACATGCTGAGATATAAGTTTTGGCTAACAGCGGTTTAAGACTCAACTTGTTGGTTGAAAAAATGCTTGGACTGTGTTTTCTTTGACGTTTTTCATAGATTCTTTTGAAGAAATGGAAACAAATGATGTGTTTTTGCAACACAATTTAAAACTGTTTCTTTCCTAAGTTTTCTGTTATGTGTAGACACAACACTGGTTAATCCCTTGATTTAGTTACCTTTTTTATGCTTGAATGATTCACAGTTCAGTGTTAAGTGGTTTGATCAGGTATAAGGACTGGATTGAGAATGAGTGAAAATGTCCAAAGAAAAACTTGAAACACCCCCAGAAAGCCTGAAGAACTACACAACAGTGTGTGTGTGTGGCAAGAGGCGGTGATGGGATGTCATGAATCACAGTGTGTAGGGTAGTACTTACTGTTTACTAAAATTAGGAGAGGATCTGATGTCATAAGTAATAGGCCATCATACTGTGAAACTTTCTCTTTACTGCCAGCTGCTCTCGTTTTTTTTTTTCAAGCAATGCAGCATTTATGTTAAATTCACCACCGAATTTTGAAAAATCAGTATTTAGGTATTAAAATATACAACTGCAGATCTGTTTAGCTTAGCACAGTTCTCAACATAAAGCTTAAGTGCATATATGCCCAGCTTTCTGCTGACCTGGTCTGATCTGTGGTGTTTGAGAAAGGTGCGTAGCTTGAGTTTTAGCGGGGAAAGCAGGAGTGTAACAGAGGTCAGTGCTGGCTGCGTGCCAGAGTCAGTATCTTACATAAACTACCACTGAGAGGAATGTGTCTGGGGCACACTTCACAGGAAAGGCACACATGTGCTAACACAAAAACCTGCTAGAGGTGTATTGTTTCTTTTTGCCTTTGCTCTGTATAGTGCTGATTTTCAGTGAACGCAGTCCCAGCAACAAAGCACTATTCTAAAGACACACAATGAAGTCTCTCTGTTAACTCTTTCCATGATTATTACTATGTTTTTTTTTTTAATCTGCAAGTCAAGAGAAGACACACAGGTGTAGGAGGACATGAAGCATGGAGGCTTAAAATATGTGGGTTTCCCTATCCTCTTACCAATGGAAAGACAATAAAAAGCCATTGTTGCTACATCAGTCCCATTTTCTGTCAGCTGGTTGTTACATTATCCTTGAATCAGTCCAGTCGCTTCCTACAGAGAGGTGACGTGATACCGCTCAGGCCTGACTTCAAACCGTGGCTGAAATCAATATTACAGGAGCTGTTTAAACCTGCAGGAGCTATTTAGTTGTTTTCTCTTTGCTTTTCTGCAGTCCTGTGTGTGTGCTGTCACAGCTGGTCGTTCTGTCCTCATATTCTTCTCTATGCTTTCACAAATCCGACTTGGCTTCTCTATTCCTGTGATGTCATACTGCACATTTAAAAGATAGCCTGTTTCTTGTGTCTTCATATCTTCAGCTTATAACTCACTAACAACTTAGGAGACGCACTCACAGGTTTAATGGCACTCGTGTTGAAATATATCTACATTACAGCATGTCACTCAGTGTCTGAATTGTGCCATCAAGCCATCACTTTTTTTAGAGTAATATTAAGTCACTACCTCCTGCTGGAGATATTGGCTTGTACTTGTCACAACTGACTTTTATTGAAGGGAATTTGGCATGATTCAGCACTCAGTAGACTGGCCTCTCTGATTAGTTGGTTTCTGTTGGTAGTCAGTGTGATAAAGTGCTTATATTAGAAATGCCAAAGCAGCAACGTGTTTGTGCAAAGTTGTTACTACGTATTTCTTTTTTTGACCCCTAGGCTCTGTTTATCAGAACTTAGCCCCCCAAACGGCGTCTTATTGAAGCGTTTTATGCAAAGCAGGACTGTTATTTTTCAGCGCCATCCTGGATGTGATAGTCTGTGCCCTCAGTTCTAATAGCATTATCACGCCTTGAGTCAGTTGTAGTTCAGGTGATAGAGGTGATTTATGTGGTGGCGGGACTTAAGATAACGAACCGCATCGGTTACATTTCTTATGTGTTTGTGTGAGAGAGATGACTAAGAGCTACGTGAGGAATATCTGATGACATCACTAGCAAACTGAAAGTGCAGACAGAGCCCCCTCCCTACCCGCCAGCTCCTTACTCATATATTCACCAGCCTGAAATGTCAATATCATCATGGCTGATGTATATTTTCTTTTACTAACTATGGCATGATAGCGTTCAGCTATGCATTATTGCCCTTTTCAGTCCTCATAATGAAATTTCCTGAAGAATAAATATGCTTATCAGTTATCACCAAATACCAAAATACTGCCTTCAGTAAACGTGCTGTTTTCATGACGTCATGGCTTCAAAATGATTTGATGTGAAGGAGAAAGAGAGACTGAGGGTGTGTGTGTGTGTGTATATGTGTGTGTGTGTGTGTGTGTGTACATAAATGCTCCATCTTCCTGGTATTAACCATGTGCCATCTGTTGAGGAGGCGAGGCAAAGGGGATGACATTTCAGCAACATAGTGTAACACACTGACTATTGTGGGAATTCCTGAGTAAACCTAAGTAGGCTGAACATTCAGTGCTAAAGCAATGGACTATTTCAAAAATAATGCAAATGTAATAGCTTGCAAGATACAAGAAGCAGATAGTTAAAACAGAGATTTTCTTGGCAACTAGTTAGATCTGCAGCCAGTCTTAACTTCCTCAGAATTGCTACTAGTAACAACATCAACCTTAACTCTAACCAGTTCCATAGAGCCACCTCTGCTGTGTCTGTGGTCATTGATATGAACAAAGTTACAAAAAGCATTATAATGTACATTTATGTTGTTTTTGCGTGCTGTGCTATAAAGTGGGTTACCTTATTTAAGTGTTTCGTCTTTTTTGGTGTGCTGCAGGGTCATGTATTCTCTACGTGGGTGTAAAGGTTGAATGAACTTGGTCTAATTGCTGTCTCTGCGTTAAATATTTTGATTTTAAATATTCTATTCTGCTTATTTTTTCTGTGTTTCAGGGTTTCATCGTAATGAGGATATGAAGGCCATTGATGTGCTTCCAATCCTCAAGGAGAAGGTTGCCTTTCTCTCAGGTCAGTGTCATTTTATGTGCTGTAATTGTAAATATCTGTTTCAACTTTAAGCTCACTGAAACTTCCATCCATCCTTTTTCAGTGAAGAAGTCAGTCTAGTTACTTCTGACATTCAGCAAAATTGTGCTCTTATTTTAAGGAGCCATTGTATCACTATATTGCTGTAGAGTCCTTACAGTGCTCTATGTTTGGTGTCAGTCCCAGTATTTTAGTGTTTGCAAGGCAGGCTGGAGTAAAGCCACTTTAGCATTTAGACAAACCTGAGAATATGCTTTGCTCTAATTCTACTGTCTTAGACTGTCAGACATTTAGAAAATCCCTTTGTTTCTATCAAATAATGTATTCTGTGAAACCTGTTAAACATTTTTTGCTCATCCGGCCGAAAGACCAGTGAGCTTAGTCCATCGTGAGTTTTCTGCCCAACCGAGAATTGATACTTCCCCCTGAGTATTGGTCGTTGTTTAGTGAATCTCGCCGATTCTTGCAGCCAGATGACCTAAATTATCGCATTTATTGTCTAGTTTAATATCTTAATCTGTTTCCTCGGTATCTCTCATTTTCTTCCAAATCATGTTATTTTTCTGATTTATATTTCTGTGGTACCTTTCTCATTAATCTGTATTAATTAACATAAACCATTATCCACAATATTAAATATAATTTCCTCATCAGAGTTTTATAGGAGTACACTTTTCTAATCACATGGATACTTTTTGATGTCTCATTTTTTGTCACCTGCTTCTTCTCTCGCTTGTGTAGGCTAGGTCACTTATCCAAATAGCTACTGTGATGACACCAAACTCATAGTTTATCTAGATTAACCAATCTTGAAAGCTTCAAAAAATGTTGCATATGATCACTGACGCCTCATCATTTTCACTTGGCTTAAGCTAACTATACAGATGCTGCCTATGTTGCTACTAGCAACTTGCTAGCCTACTAGCTAGTCATGAGTTCGGTTAGACACTTTCCCTATTCACATTTCTAATCTATTTATTTAGTGAAACATGCACAACTGAAACTCTAGGAACCAAAACTTGAGCAGTATTTTCTGTAGTACTTTAAACCAACTATGTAGTGTGCTTATCTGCAGCAGGAGTCTCTATCTTTTTGACTGTATTATAAACCATTAGGGGCTAATTGTCTAATTTTGTGGCAGGTGTTCAATTTGCTAGCTTAATAGGTTGATAACATGGGCACATTTTTGGCTTTAAAGGTGAGAGGTCAGTGACATCAAGTGTGAAATTTTCACATGGAAATGGAGACTGGTCTTGGGTATAGTTGTTGGCTCCCCTGTTGCATTTGGTATGTGTAGCTAATTTATTAGCATTCACTTATTTCTCTGAACTGTGAATTTGACACAGCATGGTTTTGATCTGACTTTTACATCATTTGTGTTAACTGTATTGGCATAGTTGTGAGTAATTTAAGAAGTTTTTTTTCTGTCAGATTAGTAGTTGGTGTGGTTTGTTATAGCTCTGTGACTGGAACTCCATTACCACTCTTGTAACTGTGATTTGACCTGTCTTTCTATCTGAACCAGCTATCTCTACTCACTAGTTATCTCTGACAATTGTAAAAAAAAAAACATCTTCATAATTTAAATAGGTTTTCTTTGTGTCATTGTATTTCTATGCGAAGGTGGCAGAGACAGACGTGGAGGTCCGATTCTCACCTTTCCAGCGCGGAGCAACCATGACAGAATACGACCCGAAGACCTGCGCAGGCTCATAGCATACTTGGCCACAATCCCAAGGTAAAGATAGTGGAACACACACCCAACTATGGACGTGCGTAGACGCTCAAATATAACCTCTGCTATAGCTTGCTATTGATGTTTCCCATGTGACATCGAGAGTTGTTTGCAATAACTGGACATGATACAACTGACAACTGCTTGATGAAAATGTGTGTTCCCCAACTGGTTTGCAGTGGTTTCTGGAGGCTGTTACTGGGTAAAATTAGTTTTAAAGAAGATGCTGCTCCAGAAACCTTTTGGTGATTGCTTTGGTTTTTAGCAGGTTGCCTGTAGTTGCCTGTAGGTGAGCAGTAGTACTTTTCACAGTTTTGCTACAGCTTAGAGAGTAGCCAGCCAATCTTTGTAGACAAGTCCATCAGCTCCATTCAGTCTACCACCATGGCAATACGCTAACAACCAATGTAGTCACAAGGACATTTTGGGGGAATGCACTTTTCTCCCAGCCAAAAGGTAGCTGCCAGGGGGTCGCTGACTGGCTTAAGTAAAGCTCTCAGCGACTTCCATCAACCTGCACTTACAACTCGCTCAGGAAATACTCATCTTTCCTTCATGACCATTGATTGCCAGATGGTTGTGCGCTCTAGGCCTGTATGACTGGGACCTTATTCACTTGATCCTACATTGTCACCATGATTGTCCCACATCCAAAATGTCAAACAAGTTAACATCAGATGGTTAGCGGTCATGTATCCACAAAGCCTGAAGACAGACAAAGTATACTCATTGTTTGGTTTGTGTTTGACTTTCCCACCTTTCTTAATTTAAAGAAAAAAAAACTGGGCTGTTTTTATTTTGGATTCTCTGTAAAGTGTCTAAGGGTGTATTTCCAATTGTTGACCCCCCACCTCACCTCTCATTCCTGCATTTGATGTGTTGTCATGCTAGACTAGAGTCTGCTGCAAACTCAAAACGTGTTGCCACAGGAAGCATTTCCAAAGTTGCTCCCTGTAGTTGTGTGCAGGCTGATCTTCAAATCTAGAAGCACTTTTAATACGTAGCTCCGGGCGTTTACCTGTTCGGAGTCAGTTGTCATTAGCTTAGAGGGAAGTTTGCACTTTTCTTCTCTGCTGCGTCTGATCTCCCCTGTGCTATGCTTACTAGTGCTTTGCAGGTTGACTGCTTTAAAGTCTTTTTCACGGTGGAGTTTGGAGATTTGTCTTGAGGCAAGAAGTGGTCCAGATCAGTTACTGAAAAAAAAGATGGAGTGCAGATTCACTGATCTTTTAGTTCATCTGTGGGATGTCAGAGGCTGAATGAGGCATTTTCAGTTCCTGCATAAATTTCAGTAGCAGCAGCAGAATCAAGTTTAACTGTTGGGTTCACAGCTTTACTTTGTTTACTCCCTATAGATTATGTGCGTAGTTATCATCCCACAGAATATATTCTCAGATCAAATGCCTTAAAACCCAAAAAGAGGGTGAATGAAGTCTAAATTATGCACGCAAGGAGTTTATGTTTTATGTCAAAGTGCCTGTTATTTTAAGTTTGGAGAGCAGTCTGTGTTGGATAAAAAGTTTATGTTAAAATCATTATCTGAAGGCAGATCATTTTGCCAATCTGATCTATTTATTAAAATTGTTGCAATAATTTTTTCTAAAGTATTTTTTAGGGCTGAGAGGTAAAAAAAACAAGTATCTACCTCTAACTAAAGCCGGAGAAGCCGATACAGCTGGTGTGCAAAGACTTACAGGCTTCCAAACGGCTCAGCTCTTTAGAAAGAGGTAAGACTGGAGAGGATAAAAGATTAGTCAGAGGTGGCCAGTCATCCAGTCGGAAGGCCGAGGAGTGTCATAAGTCAGGAGGAGGCCAGCTTCTTTTCCTCAGCTTAATTTCTCTTCCTCCTGTCTAAATATTTCTGCTGCCTTACCCCCTTTTTTTTCTTTACCCTCCTTCCAGTCTCAGTATCTCTCTTTCTCACTCGCTCTCCTCTCTACCGGCTCTGCTCTGTTTTTTTTTTTCTCTATCCATTTGGCTGCCGATCTGTTTTCATAGAGTGTGGTCAGAGTGAGATAGAGCAGGAGGCCCTGCGTCTATTTCTGTGTCCTAGCTACACATTCAGATTAAAGCCTTTAATACTGAGAAACAACCTTTTATGGAAGTGTACGGCAGCAGGACTCCTGGTAAGTGGCGGTGGAAACTTCAACGCTTGAATGTTTTAACTGTTTTCTTTCCTCTCCAGATGCTGTGGAGATTGGATACTTCAGTTACAGCAGTTCCTTTAGAAAAGGGCTGTGTAATGTTATGTTACGACTCGAGGCAGTGACGTCAAATTTTGTCCTTTCGTTGCCAGCAAGTTTTTTTTTCTCTAACCTGGCTTTAATGGTTCTATGTTAGCATTATAAATGTTAAACGTACTGCATCTTTTTCTTTGTGAATTAGCCCTTTATCCTGGGATATGACCTCTTTTATTTATTTCCTTTTTTTCTGCAGTGAGGAGGTGGCCAGACATGGCTTCACAGTCATTGTGGACATGCGTGGTTCTAAGTGGGACAGCATCAAACCTCTGCTAAAGATCCTTCAGGAATCGTTCCCTTCTTGTATTCACGTTGCTCTTATCATCAAGCCAGACAACTTCTGGCAGAAGCAGAGGACCAACTTTGGCAGCTCCAAGTTTGAATTTGAGGTAGGCGATGCTCGAACGCGCTTTAAATAGTTCAACATAAAAAGGTAATCATTTTAACCCCTCCACCTTGTTTTTTTTGTAATTTTTGGTTTTTGCTTTGATTTTCTTCTCTTTTCAATAATGATTAATGCATTTTGTTTTGTTGTCTCGTCATGTCAGTGTACCGTATGCTCAGATGATGCAAATTGTTGTAAACTGTTAGTTAGTTTTGCATACCCACTGGCCTTTTTTACCAGCTCTAATTGGACTGTGCTTTGTGTCAGTGGCACGATTCTGTCCCGTGTGGGCATGTTGAGGTGGTATATTTAGTTCTGACCCAGTTACTATGGAAACGGGATATATAGGACATGGCAAAGAGTTTATTCCTAACTTTAGTGCATTTGGCTTTGGACAAGCAACTTGTTGTATTTTTGTTTTTGTTTTTTCTTTTTGTGTATGACGTCAAACGTACTATTTTTGGGTGCACATCAAGTACCGTAGAGTTTTACTTATCAGGCAGATCACAGTGATAGAAGCATTCGTATGAGAGATAACTAAGTCTTTCCTGTCACCTCACCACACCCATTCTAACAGTGGGTGTACAGTGCTTACTGATTGCACATTATCTTTAGAGTCAAGTTTTTACAGTAAGAAATATTTTAGAAACTTAACAGTTGACTAGTCTGGAATATGGTGGTGATTATATTAGTGTAAACTGTGCTTATTTTTCCTCTTTCGCCCTTTCATCTATTTGTAATTCTTTTTTATTTTCTTGTGTGTCCCAAATCTGCCTTCCCGCACCAGACGGTGATGGTCTCCTTAGAGGGTTTAACCAAGATTGTGGACCCTTCCCAGCTGACAGCCGACTTCGAGGGCAGCCTAGAATACAACCATGATGAATGGATTGAGGTTTTGATTCTCTTCTTTTGTTTACATCTGTTCCTTCATAAGATGGTTTTTAATTTAAATCTTTTGTGCGCTTACTTAAGAAAACATCAGTCAAAGACCAGTCTTATTGCAGATCTTTTTAAAAATTCAATTCCGTATCCTCATTGGGGAAAAGAGGTTGACTTTTAACTTTCCTTTCAGGTGCGGCTCTCTTATGAGACGTTTGCCAGTGATGCAGCGCGGGCTTTATCACGCCTTGAAGAACTCCAGGAAACCTTGTCCCAGCGTGATCTCCCACGGGATCTGGAAGGGGCTCGGCGGTTAATGGAAGAACATGCTGCACTGAAGAAAAGGGCCACCAAAGCATCGGTAGAGGAGCTCGACGCACAGGGACGGAGGCTGCTCCAAAGGCTACAGTCACAGACTGCAGGGGTTGGGAGTGTTGGAGCTAGCGGAGATTCTAACGACCACCATCACGGGTTTCACGTGCACGCGGACGCGCACAATCTGGTGGCTAAAGTGACGGGTGTGTTGGATAAGCTGCACGGGATGCGGCAGAATCTGCAGCAGTTGTGGCACATGAGGAAACTGAAGCTGGACCAGTGTTTCCAACTGCGGCTGTTTGAACAAGATGCTGAGAAGGTCAGAGAACTAATCATTCTAATCACAAATGAACTAATCACAAAGTTAATTGTGTTGTCAGTTCTGCAGTATGCCTGATGTTAAATATGCCACTACAGCGGTTTAACTTTTTGGACATGCAGTCATTCCTGACTAATCTTTTGCATGAGCATACTTACCAATTCTATTCAGGCATAAAAGAATATAACATGATCATCATCATTACCATGTAAGCCAGATAATTGAGGCTCAATATGGTTGCAAAGGTTTAATAAAGCTGACTGATGGCAGGTGTTGAATATTAATTTTCTTTTCCTTCTAAATGAATGGAGGACATAATACGTCATCTTTACACTTACAGTGGAAATTGCTTATATTCTTTAAATATATATTTAGATTTCTGGTTGCCCTGGTTACAAGCTTTTAAATGCCCTTTGGAAATATATAATTGAGTTTTTCATATTCTAAGTAATGTGTGAGTGTGTGCTAATGGAAACTGTAGTCCTATACACTTTTCAGGGTTTTTGGCAAGTACCTTTATTTAACAGACATTTGTCATATTCTTACCTCAATAGAGGGTGAACAACAGCGGTCTTTTAGTTTTTTAGCTTTCCTATCAGAGGAGCTTGGAGATGACCTTTGCCTTCTTCAGCGGTTGTGGTTAATTAGCAATCAACAAGGCCTCTCACTCCTGCTGCTATGAGTTACCACAAGATGGGCAGCTTTTCATTTGATGTGCTTTTTGTAAAGCTAACTGTGTTTTCTCCACCTACTCTCTGTAGATGTTTGATTGGATAATGCACAACAAGGGGCTTTTCCTGACCAGTTACACAGAGATCGGAGGGAACCACCAGCATGCTGTGGAGTTGCAGACGCAGCACAACCACTTCGCTATGAACTGCATGGTAAGACCCTATCGTTAGCTGTCACGCACATACAAATGCACAGAAACAGGTAATGCAATCGTAAACTGCCGTCATTCCTCTCATCCACACTAAATGCTTTTTTTCCCCACCCTTCATCCCAAACTACCCTCTCCCTATATGGGGAAACTGATGTCTTCTGTCTTGCCATGCTCTTTTTCTCATATACCTCTCCTTTTACTCTGCTTCAACTCTGCCCCAGTTTGTCATGTCTTGTCATGGTGCTGTTCCCATAATTGACCCGCATTGCCTTTGTGCCCCTCCCACTGCTGTGTGCTGCCCTTTGCTGCTCTGCTCCACCCTCCTCCCTGCGACATCATAGCTCACTCTAGTCCTTAGAGCTCTGCTGTTGGCTAATACATTTAGCTGAGGATATAGTATTGTGTCACTGCACCCACCACACTATGCACTCTGCCCTAACTTTGTTTTCCTTTGTCACAGTTTGACTGGTAAGCTTTGCAAGGTTTCTGTTTCATCCTTTTTGTCAATCCTTTGCAGTGCACTTTCTTCTTACATCCCTCATAACTTTTAATGGTGTGTTATTCCTGCTTGTCATATATCATCAAGCAAGTAAACCAAACTTGTTTCAGGCTTCGTGGGATGCATTTAAATTAGTAGATTTGTTTTAGACTAAAAACAGCTTCAAAACAATCTGAGAAACAATAAGGATGTAGCCCACTACCTCTGATTTGAACAGCAAACTAGCCTGCCATTTTTCCATGCTACTTTCTAAAAGTAATTATTTTTAGTGCAAAAGTGAAACCAATGGAGAGCAGGGCAACTGGCCTAAATCTTCTTATAGAGTCACTGGTGTTACAGATCATTTGCAACATTCAGCCCAGAGAGGGCGGTTTCAGTGACCTCCCACAGCCGGATGTTTCAACTGTACTGGCTGAGGTGAGCCAAAAAGCAACTGAGACAGCTGAGAAGACAGATAGACCTACACTGTATACTCAGGCCCATATTGACAGGGTAGACCAGGGGTAGGCAACGCCAGGCCTCGAGTGCCGGTGTCCTGCAGGTTTTAGATCTCACCCTGGGTCAACACACCTGAATCAAATGATTAGTTCATTACCAGCCCCCTGGAGAACTTCAAGACATGTTGAGGAGGTAATTTAGCCATTTGAGTCAGCTGTGTTGGATCAAGGACACATCTAAAACCTGCAGGACACCGGCACTCGAGGCCTGGAGTTGCCTACTCCTGGGGTAGACAAACACATACAAACATGCATACAGATGGTTTAACAGTGAAAGACCACCGCCCCCTCCACCTATTCTTCCACAGGAAGCGGTGTTTCCCCTTCCTGTTGCCTGCAGAGCACAATGGAAATACACAGTGTCAGTAGGTGCGTTTATACTGCCTGTTCTCCTGTTTGTGTGTCCGCGTTCTCCGACTGTGTCAACATTGTAGCAAGAGTAAAACCAAGGTGAAACAACGCAATTACTCGTTTGCCAGTTTCCAGCGACTAAACAAAAAAAAACAACCCACCAGCATGTGTTTACTGTATTGTGTCAGGCAGTCATCAGTGATGGGAGTGTCATGTGTAAGTGAAGGTTTGGACCAAATGCTGATGGTGACTCTTTGTTGTTATGTGAGAGATAATGTGTCACGTTGCAAAATACAACCCCTAGGGTTATGATACTGTTACTCCCCCTATGGGAGGTACTTAAAAATTCACTTTAGGAGTCAAGGAGCTTTTTTTAAACACTTTTAATAGAGCCGTCATTTTACACATGTGGCATATGATGCCTTTTTTCCCAACTACTACAGGTTTTAAAACTCTAATATCACAAAATGAATTCAGAGAGTTCAGATTGTTTGGCTTGTTTTGATAACTAACACAGTTTTGCTGAAGATTTTAACAGTTTGATGATGCGACACATTCAGATGTTTGATGTAGATGCCAAAGAAGCAAGTCAACAGTAATGATCTCAAAGAAGCAATTGTTGCTAACCATCAATCGTTAGGACATTTCCAAACTTATTCTGTAATTCTACAATTTTCACAATTGGGAAAAAAATCAAGACAGTTGAAAGTTTTGCAAGGAGTGGACATCCCAACAAATTAAGCTAAAGGTCATAGAAATGCTAAGAAAAAATAAAAATCCAACTACAAGAATCCACGGGCCTCAGGTGACGGAGGGGATGGTGGGATTGTGTTGAAGCCACAGGACTTGGGTATCTTGTAATGATTAAATTTAATAAGCATTGCTAGTAGATTTGTTCGAACTGTCATGCGTGGAGTCGAAATGTTTCTAGTCATATTTGTTGAGAAGGAAACACATGATGTATGTTATGCAGCAAATATAACAACTGTCCAAAAAATATTGCAATATAAGCCCGAAATCAGACTCTAGAAATGCCATGATCTGTACAAGCAATCGTTTTGTATATTTGCTGCGGTCTCAGAGAAAGGTACGTGCACACCTCCAAGAAAATGTGCTATTGCAGCCTTTACCATCCATGCTGACTTTGCGCAGATAGAAGTAGCACTCTGTCATGATATCCTGCATTAAAGATAAAAAAGCTGTTACGTTTGAGCATAATGTTTGATACCCATAACATTCATATACACACGCACACATAGAGATACAGGAAAAGAGCTTTCTTACATCAAGTACTTCATAATTAAGTACAAAGAATGTTCTTCCAGAGAGGCAGGCAGGGTAAGCGTCACTGGAAACATCATATGCTGCTGTGGAAACGTTTCTTAAATTATCTGTAAATACAGAAACAGGTTTTTTCAAAAAAGTACACTTTAAAATAAATATGTATTTATATATCTAAGAAACTGTTTGCTCAAGGATTTAGACTGGACATAATTTTGTGTTTTTTGCACTCTGTTGTGATGAAGTTGTGCTGAATTTCGAAGATGTTAATGCTGATTTTGTGTTTATTGACTACGTGCCTAGTTGATTCGTCAACTCATTGTTTTTTCCGCGTAGCTTGTTGTTTTCTTCAGTCAACTTCACCTGATGCCCAGCTAAAGTGGCACCTATTATGAAAGGAATGATACGTTTATGAGTTCATGTACAACTGAAGCTCACATACAGACGTAATTCTTTACAAAGGACAGCAATGCAAAGAAGATTTATTCCACGCTCATGGTCCTATGGACAGTTAAAGTAACATGACTAAGTGATAAATGAGTAATATATTCACTGAAGATGAGGATAAAACTTTCAGTCATTGTAAGTATCACTATTTTTAAATGTAGTCTGTTAGATCTGGTGTAGTGGCTTAAAAATGTCCTCCATACATCAGTGCGTAGAGCAGTGTATAGACATGGTGATAACATTATGATTTCACGAAAGTGAAGTTCACACTCACAAGCGATGCTCACACAGATGAGTACGCTGATTAACAGAATACACAGAACCACCAGACACACTGTAGCATGCCTGAAAAAAACTAATGAGAAAATAATGTTAATAGTTTTGTGTGTTTGTATTTAATGTGTTTGTATCGTCTGAATTTGAATATTTGTCTTACCTAACTCAGGAGGTTGCTTTCTTCCATTGTTGGAATTGAACGCTGGCCATCTGATAGTCATGTACCTAAGAGAGGGGGGGCGGTTGGTGGCTGCGCTTTGGTTTCCAATGTTTGGCAGTGTTGCGTTTGTCGCAGATCTCTGATTTTTCAGCTCCTCTCTGTTCTTACCATTGAACACAGGGTTTGGTTGCTGTTCTCTTGAGTCCCTCGTTGCGTTGTAATCTATACCGAGTGTGTCTGCAACTTCATAAGTATTGTCGTTTTCTGACCACAGGTCAGCATCCATTGTCATGTAATCTTCGTTTTCTGCTGCCGGCTCCGCCATTGCCGAGTGGTGTCTTTGGTTGTTAGTGACTGGTGTGATGTGTTTTTCTAAAATGCCTTACAGATTTTTATGGATGCAAATGACTTGGTAGGAGGGGCCAATGTAAAAAGGTTTCACTGGAAGCATCGGGCAGCTACTTTTTACATCTGGAATATAACAGCATATATTATATAAAAATGTAAAAAAAAAGAAAAGAAGAATGAATGTTTACAAAAAGAGAATCTGAATTCCAAAGGATTCGGGAGGGATTTTGATACTCTATCTTGTTCAGTGGACTAAAAAATGGAAAACCCAGAAAAATTCCTAAAGGCAAATAAATGATTTGCCTTTAGTTTGTATACAAAGAGATGGTTCACAGAGATTAGGAGTAGTTCCTGTGAAAACTGGAAAGCTGGAGCACAGGGTGTTGGGAAAGTGAACTGTGAGATAACCCAGTTATTCAAAACTGGGTTTACATTGTTTGAGTAAAGGAATCTTACAAATGACTCTTTGGGTTTACTAGTGTTTCATGTTACAAAGCCAGTCATCTCCATACAGCTACCTTGCTGACTGAATTAGGATCCTGTCCAATATGACTGGTTTGTTCATTCATACTGTTCATGGTTAGCATAAATTCAGACGTCCTGCAAAGTTACATTTATATTAACCTATAGCTAGCTGAAGAATTGCACATTGCAGAGATATTTTTATATTGCTAGACATCCCTATATTACCCATGAATTTTTCACTTCAGTAAATATTGTAACTAAAGCAGCGACTCTGGTTACTGGTCATTTTAGAAACAGGAAGTATTTAAAGCTTTAAGGTTTTGGGAGTTTTTACTGTTTCTTGTGCTTCCTTTACAGGATAGACACTGTCTATTTCTACAGATCGATTCATTTCTGGGACCTGTCCTCTTTTCCATTTTCCGTATTTCTGTCTGTTTTCTCTCCCACAGCCACTCTCATTCCCTATGGCACCATCAGTTTTAAATTAAGAAGACTTTTTAAATTTATATTCTCCCAACTCCTCCTCCCTTCTCTCCTTCAGCCATCAGTTTTAGATTACCACCCGAAGTAGTCCAACATGTCTGCATTTCCTCTCTTCCCCTGAATGATTGTGTGATTTGGAGGTCCCCCCCAAAATCCCAATAGTCCCTAATACCACATAAAACCTCAGAGACAGTTCTTCCTGTGACATTTGATGTGTAAGATTTATTATGGGATTATAATAGTTCTAGTCCTAACCGCCATGCTTTTATTTATGACAACTTAACTTCTGCTGTGTATTCAAAAGCTGAACTCGTGTTAGCCGTGCTGTTTAGCTCACCACTGTCGCTCTTATCCTTGAACCAACATCAGATTGTATCGAGCACGTTTCAGTGTTGATTCTGCACAGTATGGATTGTTCTTCTACAGTACACGCAAATGCAGAGCTGTTTAAAATCTCTCTAAACCCTAATATAAAAACAGACAAACTCAAAGCTTCCTGAGTTGAACAAAGTAAATCCAGTGTCCACAGCTTTGATGAAAACTGCTTTAAGGGTCGTAGCTGGTGTTTGGTTCATCTTTCCTTCCCATTGTGATTGAAACAAGCTAGCTAAGAGCCATAATAGGCTCCAGGAGCAGTAATTGAATAGAATAATAACACGCTGTTAACACAGTTGTTAATTAGCGTTTGCTGATCCATGCCTATCTACACAAAACAGCTTGGGGCCCATATATTAAAAAAGACTGAAAGATTAAGAGGCAAATGGGCTTTTTTATTATTCACATGGGGGTATGTCTCCCGTGTGTGTGTGTGTGTGTGTGTGTGTGTGTGTGTGTGAGGACAGAGGTTATTTTATTTTATAATTATTTATATGTGATAAATAATTATTTATATGTGATAAATAATTTTAGCCACTATTTTTTCCACATATAACTTTAATTGCTTTGAATGAACAGTGACAGTCTGGGCCATTTGAAGACTGGATATACTTTGAATGACAGACTACACTGAAGATGTCCAAATATTAACGATAAGAGCACTCTTTATATAAATGTAGCTTTTCTTTTGTATAGAACTGAAATTAATTATTTTTAATATGTTTGGGGGTTTTTTCTCTGTATCTGTTTCTCTCTGAAAAACAGAATGTGTATGTGAACATCAATCGAATCATGTCTGTTGGAAATCGGCTCCTGGAGTCCAGCCACTATGCCTCTCAGCAGATCCAGCAGATCTCAAGCCAGCTGGAGCAAGAGTGGAAGGCCTTTGCTGCAGCACTGGACGAACGCAGCACCTTGCTGGAGATGTCTGCCAGCTTCCACCAGAAAGCAGATCAGGTACTGGGATGCAAAAAATTAATTACACTTCTGATATTATAGTAATACATGTGTGCATAATAGATGCACATTTCTTCTTTTCTATATGTGCAAAAAGACTTTTTTTGGCAGAAGTAAATGCGCTGTTGGCAGCTCTGCTTGAAAGCATCAGAATATCTGCATGTATTTATAAAGTTGTGAGTTCTTACATTCATTTAGTACATGCTGTGCAAACAATAATTGGAGCATGCAGCATATGATCTGTTATGTAATGATGTGTTTTTGTCATCTAAACCATATTACAGCTTTGTGTAATTTTCTACTCTTACTTGTACTCTTACTTAAACATTTAGATTAAAAAAAAAAACTTTCCAATTTAAAGCCCCTGAGGTTACTGTGGAACCTTGCCAATGAGAGACCATTTAAATGATCAATACTACTTTAAACTGTTTTGCTTACGGATGCAGTAGCAGAACATTAGTTGTTGACAACTGTTGTTTGCTGAGTGGCTCTTTTTCTATGCGGTCTTTCATGCCCAAGACTTCCTTGTAAGTGACATATAAGATCAAAATCCATCAGTTGTTCACAGTTTTGTGAATAAATACCATCACTCTGTCTTTCTTTTTCCAAGTCATGTCTTACTTTTCTCTTTTTGACTGTGTTGGTCCTCCCATAGAAATTCTCATATGCACCACCATCTGGATAGAAAACTTCAGGGTTATTATTTGTGTGCAAAAATGACTTTCGAAGACATATTAAAGCGATTGTAATCTTTAACTGACCTGCTCGTTCGGTCTTAATAGCATTTGTATGATGCTGTACTTGTGTTTCTATACAAATACTGTATATCTGTCTTTTTTCGCAGTACATGAGTAAAGTGGAGCCGTGGTGTAAGGCATGTGGTGAGGGAGAGCTGCCCTCTGAACTCCAGGATCTGGAAGACACAATCCATCATCACCAGGGGCTGTATGAGCACATCACCACAGCATACTCTGAGGTCAGTAGAAACAGGCACATTTGCGGAGACAGTGCGTCCGAACCATAAGTGCGCGACACAAATAAGCATGCAAACACACAGAGTATACAAATATATATACAAATATCATTGTGACTCTATGGAATACAAACAATAGATGTGATGATTATGCAAATCGTGCATTCAAAATATTCACACATGCCTTCAGCAACAATGGAAACTTTCTCCATCGATACATCTCTTTGGGTTTTAGTTAGTTTCACAACTTAAAATAAAGCAAATAACACAAATTAAACAATGTTTGAAATTTAGTTTGAAATTGGTAGATTCACTGCCTCCAGCTAAGAAATCTAAAACAATATTCAGTTAAAAACATACATGACATGATGAGATAAAAAAAAACACATTATTAGGGGTGTTATGTTATCTACTGGTATTTAGTAGTGGTTGGTCCACTGTGTGCTATAGTAGTCGCCTCCCATGAGATTTTAGAGCACTTCCTGCTTCAGTCTGTTGACAAACCTTATGGAGATGCTTAGCATCTTCCCAGAGTGGTAAAACTACTTCTAAATGGTTTGCTGACCATGTTACTGGTACGCTTGACTAGCCAGCCAACTCCACAGAGAATCTATGCGATATTGTCAAGAGGAAGCCCAAAAATTCCAGAAATTCCACATTTCTGCATTAGAAATCCTGTTTTTATTCATCTTAGGAAATATTCTAATAATATGAGATCTTAGACTCTGATTTTCATGAGCCATAGCCCATCATTTTCAAAATTACATAAAATGCCTTGAAATGTTTCTATACAGCATGTAAATGAATATAGATTACGTAATAGTTTTAACTTTTTGAATTAAATTATAAAGAACATATATTATACATATATAATATTCAAATTATTTTAGTTTTGTATTAATATTAATATTAATATTCTAAGTCTACTTACAGCATCAAACGCATCAGATCCACCCAGTACTAAATGTCACACTGCCCATCAACTTTCAAAGGTAAGCCAGGATGGCAAGTCTCTGTTGGACAAACTGCAGCGACCCTTGACCCCAGGAAGTGCAGATTCGTTGATGGCATCAGCTAACTACTCCAAGGCTGTGCATCATGTTTTGGATATCATCCATGAGGTGTTGCATCATCAAAGGCAACTGGAAAACATCTGGCAGCATCGCAAAGTCCGTCTGCATCAGCGCCTGCAGCTGTGTGTCTTTCAGCAGGATGTACAGCAAGTAAGAAATGTGTGCAAACATCCACAGCAAAACCTGGCTTTGCTGAGACTCTCAACGCCCACACAACGACAGTACAGTAGGAATTGCATAAAGTGCTGTCCCATCTTGCCCTTATGTCTGAATTAGTTTCCCTGTAGACTTAAATTGTCTGTACTCTGGCTACTTAACTATCCAATCCAGGAATCCGTCCACTTAAGCATTTTTTACTCTGAGAGCTTGAGAGGATGTCAATGAAGAGCGATTTCCTAGGCTTGTCATTATATGTCAATTTTAGGGTTATTGAATCTTATAAATATTTGTATTTTCCAGTTCAAACTGGAAATTGAATTTAAAAAATGAGAGGGTGATATTAAGAATATGATATAATAATCTCCAGTTATTTCAGTAGCTTTTTTAAACTTCATCTGGGCTTTTTTAAAATTTCTTTTGAGTGAGCGTCTCTATGTGTGGCTGTGGTGCGATCAAGTTCTTAGATCAAAGTTCTGAGTTGGTGTATTTCTGTCCTCTGGGCATGAACCCCTCTCTCCCCTCTTCCACCTCTCCTTCTCTCTCACTCATTCTTGCTGTACATCTATGCTTCTGTCTTCCCCATCTCTTCTTTATCACCTTTTTCTCTTGGTAGTGGTTTCCATGGTGATGCAATTTACTGTCACATAATGTGTCGAGGGCATTGTGTGCATGTTCATATGTGTTTGCCTCATCAAAATATTCTCTCAGAGATGTTGAAAATCCCTTTCACAACCCCACATAGAAACAGATGGAGTTAGGCCATCTGTTTAATAAATAATAAGGTTATTAATAAGTACAAAGACTTATATCTGTTCACAGCCACAATGGGAATGTTGACTCTTTACACTGCTTTGGATTTACACTGAAGCAAAACCCAGTCACCCAGGCTGTAATTTAAACATGACAGACTGCATATGGAGGAAAGGAGTAAAGAAAAGGGGGTGGGGAGAAGCAGCGAGATGACATCTATAGACTGCTGTAATTAATGTGGTCTAAATGCAGGCGATTGTACCCCCTACTGCTGGGAAATACGTACTGCATCCTCAAATGCTTATTTTTACCTGTTTAAATGTGCTTGTGTGTCTGCATGTGTTTGTTTTTAAAGGTGCTGGACTGGATAGAAAATCACGGTGAGGCCTTCCTTAGCAAACATACAGGTGTTGGAAAGTCTTTGCACAGAGCCAGGGCTTTACAGAAAAGGCATGAAGACTTTGAAGAGGTTGCACAGGTGAGCAAAGCAAACACTTTTGGTTCTGTGACATACTTTTTCCCATCAATTTATTATTTTTTGCAACAACCTGAAAACAGTATTTCACTGTGTAGACTTGACAAAAAACAACCCAAAACAAAGCAAAATGTTGAGTTGGTAAGTTCAGTTTAATAAGTTGTGACAAAAATGAGAAAGTAAGTAAAGTTCTTCTTGTAAAGGTCACTTGGAAGAGATAGAATATTCTCATTTTAAATGTATTTAATCTTTCAGAACACCTACACCAATGCTGACAAGTTACTAGAGGCTGCAGAGCAGCTGGCCCAGACCGGAGAGTGCGACCCAGAGGAAATTTACCAGGCCGCCCACCAGCTTGAAGACCGCATCCAGGATTTTGTGCGACGTGTCGAGCAACGTAAAGTGCTGCTGGACATGTCTGTTGCCTTCCACACACATGTCAAAGAGGTGTGTGTCCCTCTCCCTGCTTCAGCTTGTCCTGTTTGCAGCATTGATTTCACCCCTCCGTTTTGCTTATTGCTAGAATTTAATGCGACTAATACAGTAAGAGGACAGTGTGTATAAAAATGATGCAATGATGTTTATTCTGTATTAAGAAACATATTTTAAACTGAGTTACCTGTCTTCATATTTTTGTTGCAGCTCCAGCTGAAATGCAATAAACTCCGCAGGCTAACTTTGCTCTGGCAGTTTTCACATGCAGGCTATGTTGAATAGCCGTAGCAATTTATGTAAAGTGTGTTTGTATAAATGCATCAGATTGGTTCCAGATGTGTTCCTGCAACAATCATTATGCTGTTTGTAAAAAACAAAGAGTATAATTTTCTTTTGCCTCTGTAGTAACCATTCACACGCCATACAAAGGTAATCTGACCTCATCTGCCTTCTCCTTGACTTTGATTAAGGCAGGCGGGTCTTTAGGTTGTCTTCTTAAGCCTTTAGGGAGCTGCAAAAATGCATTTGTGCTAAGCACTCCTTGAAATAACTCTTTTGTGCATCTTTGACTGTCAAAATTAACCTTCCCAGACGGAAAGGCAGTGCTCTCTGCATGTGTTAACACTACATCCTGTTTACATAGACTCATAGACAGTAAGAGCCTAGGTATTATTAATGAAGCTAGTCTTTAATGCCCATATGGACTAATCTCCTTCATCCCATCTGTCAGCTCACAATGATAGCAGTACGCTATCTGTGTGAGCGCACGTGCATTTCTGAGCATGTGTGTGTGTGTTTGTGCCACTATGATTCTTTTCTCTGCATGCATATGTTTGTACAAGTGAACGTTTCCAACTCTGCTGCCCATCACTTCTTCAAGTGCTGCAGAATCCTTTGGATGCAGTCCAGTGTGATAGAGGGCAAATTTACTGTGATGACAGGGCATGAACTACATTGTATAAGAAGCAGTTTACCTGTTTTCCATGAAGCTAACTGATCAGAAGGCTCGGACTAATAAAAGTAGCCATCTTTATTTAATCAGAAATTCTCAGACAAGGGCTTTGACAAAGAGAGAAGCATTTGTTCTGAAAAATTAGTCACTCACTTGATTTCACTTTTCACACATTTTTAATGGTCTGTGTCAGTATGGAAACCATGTAATATGTAACATAGTTAACGCAGTGAACAATATCAAAAGTAGGCATGTTTTTGTGTTGGCAGCGTGGGTGTTAGACAAACAATGGGTGCCAGGGTCTCTCCCCTGCAGCCTGGACCGTATGCCAGGGCTTCAGTACCCTGAGCCAATTCACCCAGATGGCTAATCTGTTACAAAGATGACCATTCACAAAACACCAGCTTTGAAAAGAACTGGTTGGATTTGATTTGTTGTTGATTTCTGTCTCATATCTCTTGTCTATCCATTTGGCAGCTCGTCTGTTTATTCTTAGATCTCTGTTTAGCTCACACCACTATATGCACCACCCTCAAACATGTGTCTGCAGATTATTGTGCTTTTTTTCTCTACATTTGAACTGGCTTTTTTTTCTTTGTCGATCACACTTAGCTGTGGACATGGCTGGAGGAGCTTCAGAAAGAACTGCTGGATGATGTTTACGCAGAGTCAGTCGAGGCAGTCCAGGATCTGATCAAGCGATTCGGCCAGCAGCAGCAGACCACCCTGCAGGCAACAGTCAACGTTATAAAGGAAGGAGAGGACCTCATACAACAGCTCAGGTGATCATTTATTAGTATTATTACATTTTTAAATGCCTCACTAAAGTCTGAATATTGTAATATTCAATGTTCATCTGATCATCTGTCACATTTGCCATCTGGAGATGGCCTTGGGTTACACATATTTTCCAATTATTCAACAATCATGTGTTCATGAGATAAAAGGAAAACAAGAAGTGCTGATAGGAGAATACACTGGGAAAAATGGGTGAGGGTGATTTCTAACAGAATGACTTGACAAAAATTGGGAACAAAGTTCTCTCTCCATTTAACCCCTGCTTACAGAGACTCTGCCATCTCGAGCAACAAGACTCCGCACAACAGCTCCATGGCCCACATTGAGAGCGTGCTGCAGCAGCTGGACGAGGCCCAGGGCCAGATGGAGGAGTTGTTCCAGGAAAGGAAGATCAAACTTGAGCTCTTCCTCCAGCTCCGCATCTTTGAAAGGGACGCAATTGACGTAAGTAGGCGGAAAATAGAGGGTTGGTGTATGATGCATATTTATTTTTAAAGTGAGAGTGAGGAAGACAGAACAAGAAACACCAGAATAGTAGAACTCGTGATCTTTAGATGTAAAAGCGAAGACAGAATGTTTCAAATATCCACACTGCAGGAAGGTGTTTTCAATGAAAAGGGAGAAATTAAGGTGTACAGCAGGGACCACAAAGACTAAAAGTTTGGACATGAAAAACAAAGTGCTACACATGTGATACGCTAAGAAAGAAATAACAGAATGTATCATATCAGCCAATTTGTTTTTTCTTATTGGCTGTTGAAAAGATCAATTATATGTGACAGCGGGCTTACTGGCAAACCAAAATGACTGTGACTGTGAGCTGATGGACCATTACAGCGTGAAAGGAAGATTCAGTCCTGGAGTGAGGATTCCAGCTGGTTTAAATCTCGGCTAAATTCACAGTCATACTCACACGTGCGCTACATTAAAAAAGTGTTTAGTTCCACTCGATGAATCTCATCCACTGACTCGCTCCAGTTATGTCTCCCCCTCCCCAGTCTGCAGTTTGCTAATTCCTTAGCATCTTGCTGTGAGAGTGAACGCTGTACTCAGCTGGTGCTCAGAAATGAGCGCTGCTCTTAAAAAAACAGAAAGAAAGAAAGAAAGAAAGAAAGAAAGAAAGAAAGAAAGAAAGAAAGAAAGAAGGAAAGAAAGAAAGAAAGCATTGCTCTTATTTTTATCATGGCTATCAAATTAGATTTGTTGAGCTATACTGTGCTGACAGAAGAATTACACTCTGGCACTTTAGAAGCAAACGCACTGAAAAGAGATGCAGGCTTGTATTAATAAGAATCATGTAAGTAAGAAGAAGAGATGTGGAAAGTCATTATTGAGGACATAATGAATATATTAATCTTGGAAAATGGTTTTCAATTATAAACTCATCACTTGTGGTTTCTGTGGGTGGTAAGTTTAGTGTTTTTGGTCCAGAATAAAAATAGCTTAAACAGCTACTCCATAGAGCACCAGCACTCATGGTAAGTGGATGACTGTAACTTGGTTTGGTGATCCTGCAATAATGATGATGATGATGATGATGATGATGATGATGATGGTAAATGGAAAGCCCACAGAATGAGTCTCCTGATTATTTCTTGGCTTTACTTTACACTCATCAGCCACTTTGTTAGGTACAACCTACTAGTACTGGATTAGACTTACTTTTGCTTCCTTAATTCTTTGTGGCATTGATTCAACGAAGGTGTTAGAAACATTCATCAGAGATTTTGCTGCACGTTGACATGATAGCATCACACAGTTGCTGCAGATTTGTTGGCTGTGCATCCATGATGTGAATCTCTCTTTTCACCACATGCCAAAGTTGCTCTGGGATCTATGGCTGTCTATGCCATTTGAATACAGTCAGCTCATTGTCTTGTTCAAGTTTGAGATAATTTCAGCTTTGTGAAGGGATGAAAATGGTCAGCAACAAAACTCAGGCAGACTGCAGTGTTTAAATGCTCAGTTGATACTAAGGGCCCCAAAGTGTGGCATGAAAATATCGGTCACGCATATTTTCCCACCATTGGCTCTAAACGTTAATACAATACAAGATAGGACTGTGTTTTTATGCTATTTACAGAAAATTATGGCCCAACCATGTGAATGTCACAGCAGAAATCGAGACTCATGAGACCAGAAAACGTTTATCAAATCTTCTGTTCTCTAAATTTAGTGAGCTCGTGTGAACTGCAGCCTCAGTTTCCCGTTCTTAGCTGGCATGAGCAGAATCTGTGGTGGTCGTCTGCTGCTGTAGCTCATCTGCTTCGAGGTTTGCCACACTGCATGTCCAGAAATGCTGATCTACACAGCTTGGTTGTAACAAGTGGTTATTTGAGTTACTGTTGTCTTCCTATCAGCTTGAAACTATCTGGTCATTCACTCTAATCAATAACGCACCCAGAGAACTCACACTCACTGATTTTCCCTTATTCAGACTATTCTCTTTAAACATCAGTGTGGGAAAATTTTCCCCCACTCTGACGTTTAGCTTGAGTTTGAACAGGATGTCTCAAGACCATGTTGACATGCGTAAATGTCGCTGCCTGTGTTTGACTAATCGGATATTTTCATTCACGAGCAGTCAAACAGGTGAACCCCACAAAGTGTCTGGTGAGCGCGTTAATGAAGATATGATTATGTAATTATCTAATAATAAGCGTCTTTTGTCATCTTTTAGCATAATAAAGCATAGTACAGCATAACATAGCAAATGTTAATAAATGTAATAGCTGCAAAAATGCATACTTGACTGCAAATAAATGTATAACAAAAATGTATCCTATAAAACTAAAAAAGTTCATTTGTTAACAGTTACCCAACTGATAAATGACTTAGACTCACATATGTTTGTGAATATTATGAAGAACTGTAAGAATCGCAAGGCTTTTATTAGCGTCTCTAACAGTCTATAAACAGTCAATGGGTACGTTTCTATTAATATCCTTAAAATAAACCTGGTTGTAATGTTATTAGTAGCAAATGATAAATATGTTAAAAATGCATGTTAAGTGTCGAGTTGTCTGCTCTCTTCATCTGAACAAAAATATCGTTAACTTAAGAAGAATCTACTAACCATAAGTATTGTGGAGATACAGAAATTATTTTATTGCTGCCATATAATCTGCATCATTATAACTGCATTAATAACATTCTTTACAGCATTATTTCATGTAATAATATTTCTCACAGTATTGATACTGCATTACAGTTGTTTATTGAAGATGTCCATTTGAGGATCCTTCCATTATGTTAACTTTTATTACAAGTACAGTCAGAAGTATTTCATACACATTGCATATCTGTGCTTATTTTGAGTTGATGTTCAGTTCATTGAGGGTCTTAAGCTTCACTGGCGTGACTGTCCAGGTGATACATGCTGAGGGAAACTAGAACATAGAAGGATAACTGCAATGCATGCTTACAGTACATATAATACATATAATCTAGGAATGTGTCCGGCCTGAGGCCTCAACTCATTTGGTGTCTTACTATTCTACTTGGTAACAGACAATCAGATTCAATAATTAGCTTCAGAGACCCTGAGGGCTTGAAGTTTATTACCTTGTATGGAAGGTGTTATAGAAAAGAGAAGTTCTATGTCTGCTTATAGCTATTAAAGATGTACGATTAACTGTGACTAATGTCTGGAACCTATTTTAATCTGTCATTGACGCCATGGGGGGGGCGTGTACCCCACTACTGGTCAGAAGACATATATTGATGTTTTCTCCGGGCGGACTTTTCTGGGGCCTCCGTGGTTTGTGACACTGCTCTACATTGATTTCGCGACAGCTTTGGTGGAGGATGCGGGCAATTGTAGAGTGCTAATGGGGTTACTTCCACGGTGGTCGAGCAGGATTTAGTGGTCAGACGGGCAGGCGTCTCGGGTGATTTCTTGACTACTGTGGGCCCACATAAAAAGGTGAGCACAAACCTCTTAAACCTCTTAAATATAATGTAGAGTCAAAACATTACAATATGTAAAGCTTTTAAAATTTAGTATTATATGAAGGGGTGTATATTACATGTGCGTGTCAGGTCAGGTACACCCACTCTTGCACACAGGATTAACCATGGGACTTTGAGGAATATGATGAGTGGAAAAGGCATTCCTGCCACTCCACACACGCGCAGTTGCACAACGACACTCCCTCCTGGCTTAACTTGGGGGGGGTGTGTATGTTAGATGAGGGCACTGGTTGAGGTGAGACGCACACTCCTCCCTCAGTGCTTTATTGCCTGACAAAAGCTGTGTATGAGTGCATAGCACCAAGACCAAAACAGTCAGAGGGGATACTTCTCCTCCATTAGTTAGTCATTTCAGACTTTGTAGATTAAGGAAATGGTCTTTTTGTACTCAGAGGGCATTTTACTCAACTGTAAGAGGAGAGGAGAGCAGAGTCTAAATGAGCGCTTGGTAAGTTTGTTAAAACTTTGTTGCCAGATTTGTAAAAATCATCATATTGGTTTAAGAAGGTATTATCTGTTATTGTCTTATGGAAGCTTGATAAGATTATCCTGTGTGTTAACTGAAAGAAAAACTGTGTCTCTGTACAGAGCAGATTCTATTCTATTAATCCAAACTCCTACAGCACAGCGCAGAAAGCAGAGGCACTTTTTCATTTGGAGACAGGGTAATGTTCTCTGTTGTAGAAGTGGTCTATCTCGCCTTTTGTATACTTATTCAATAGTTACAATTAGGACCTTCCTGTGAAGTAGACTTTCATGCATGCATTGCTTTGAATAATTACAATATATCAGTTTTAAACTTTGTGAATCTTTTTTTTCCCCTTGGTTCAATTCTCATCTGAGTCTGCTTTTGTCATGAGGTGAAAAAGGAGAAAGAAATCAGGAAGCTGAAGACTGATACCTCCCAAAATATGAATATACCTCCACAGAATATGTATTTATTCATAGAAACTCTTGAAACACAACGTTTTTCTTGTTGCTGGAATTTGTGGCTTGTTTTCTCTATCTCGGGGGAATATTTAAAGCTCTCAGCTGTCTCACACTTACTAGGCGAACCTCTCTGAGAACACCAGTAACAATCTTAAGCATTGCAAAATGTATAATTACACGTTATGTAGAAGCTGTAGTAAATTACATTTTTAGCAGTGTACAGTGTAACTGCATTATGAATAAAATAACTGTCTCTGGCAATCTGGATCAGGGGATGTACCTGAGGGACAGATTAAATTAAGTACAGTACTGGCTGAGGAGGTTTAACTTATTCACGTATGATTAGGAACGTGATGCCATCAATGCTGTTCTCCTTTTTTCAACATCTATTTTCTGTATGACTGTCTCCCGATTTTTATTTTTCTGCCTTATATTGAAACTCACTGGCCTGGCTGTTAGCAGTTGGCTTATTTTTCCTCGCTGTGTTGGAGGTTTTCTGGGTAACTGTCATGTGTGAGACTCGGAGACAGATTCAGAACTCGCACACAGGACACAGAGGGAACAGAGGGACCAGATAGGGACTGAGGAAAGATAGAAGATAGAAGACTGAGGAAAAAGTCCAATAAAGATGGAGACACGACAGATTACACAGGGAGACACAAATAACTAACACGGGTACACAGAGGGAAGACTGGACATGGAAAGAGAACTAAATAAAACTAAACAAGGAACAGAGAATTAACCAAACTAAGAAACAGAAGGAAATTATACTCAGGAAATAACATATTATCTTAAACCTCATTCCAGAAATACCTAACAATTCAAGACAAGCACAAACTACTTGGTCACAAACCCAGGACCATGACAGTAACAGGATAACAGGATAACTGTTTATAATTTGAAGAGGACAGCTTTGATTTTGGAATGTGTAAAGTCAAGTTTAGTTAAAAAAAAGTTTGCTTGTAATAACAGTATTCATTAAACGTGATTCTCTCTCTTGATACAATAAGTAAAGACTGCAGAGCAAGAGGTGAATACCTTCTAGAAAACAACAAAACTATAACTCACGGTTTGAAAACAAGAAAGACAAAAAAGATCGAGACAGCATGGAGACAGAGCTGAATGGTGCCAGGATCAAGGTGCTCCTGGTATCATGATTCAGTCTGTGTGGGCAGTCAGAGACAAGCGCTGACATCTCGGTACATCTGCTCCACCAGCCGTTTATTACCATTTGTAATATATTATCCATTATTGTGGAAGCCAGCGCGCTGCTGGCTTACAGCTCTTAAAGTGCTTGAGTTGCTAATTGAAGATGAAACAGCTGTCATATTTTTAAATGCAATTCTTTCCCTCTTTCTTCTTCTTTTGTTTTTTTGTCAGACATCTGGCTTTGAATTAGCAGAATAATATTTAAACATAGAAACCCTGATTTTTTTTTTTTAAATTCATAGTCATTTGTTATCTATTTTCCCCCTTTTTCAACACCAAATGAACATACATTCAAAATGATTTTAACTAACCAAAAATACACATATATATCTAGATCGAGGGGTAACTGTGGTGTAGAAGACAAATTGCTGGGATCAAGTAGCTCACAGCTGTTGGTGCAAATGTTTCTTCATTGTCACTGTCCTTTTTGGAAATAATAATACAAAAAGGAAACGTTCTCCCATTTTATGTGCATGTTAGCCCTTCTTCCTGCCTTAACCCTCTCTGCCCCTCTCAGATCATCTCAGACCTGGAGTCATGGAATGAGGAACTGTCACAGCAGATGAGCGACTTTGACACGGAGGATCTCACACTGGCTGAGCAGAGGCTGCAGCATCATGCGGACAAAGCTCTTACCATGAACAACCTCACCTTTGATGTCATCCACCAGGGACAAGAGCTGCTGCAGTATGTCACGGAGGTCCAGGCGTCTGGTGAGTTAGGGAATATAAATACATTTAAACCTTGAGTATTTATTCAAGGGGGCGACCCAGTGCCAGTCGTTAGGGGAAATTCTGCACGGGCTAAAATACCCTCGGGAGCTCAGTCCCTTATTTGACTTCTGGTAGGCCAAACCTTTGCTACTGTCATTTCCCAGCTCATTCCTCTGCTCGTGCCTTCCATGAATAATTTGTAGAGTGTAAAAATAGGAAGCCATCCAGCTGTGGCTGCTGCTGTTGTATGAATGCTGGGAAATATAGTGATGTATAGTATAACCATCCTGATTATGTTAGAAAACCTTTTTCAGTGTTGGTAACACAACAGAATGTCCACTTTCTGCAGGTGTGGAGCTGTTATGCGACCGAGACGTGGACATGGCCACACGGGTTCAGGACCTGCTGGAGTTTCTCCACGAGAAGCAGCAGGAGTTGGATCTCGCCGCAGAACAGCACAGGAGACACTTGGAGCAGTGTGTCCAGTTAAGGCATCTGCAGGCTGAAGTCAAACAGGTATGTATGTGACTCAGGGGAGACAAAGATGCAACACTAGAGCAGCGATTAAGGTTTAACTTGGGTTTCAAAAGCTCTCTAAAAGCTAGAAAAAGAACAATGACTGCTTACAAAGCCTGAAACTGTTTTCTGACATCTGGTAACTCATAATATATTTATATATTATGAACTGCATATATGTGTCCCATACATATAGTCACACATGAATATTCACATGAATCTTCTTTTTTCCTGTAGTCACGCTGCTGAATGGAAATCCGTTCTGGCAGTTCAGTGCTAACATACTGAGAATCTGCAGCAGAGAGTGATAGTGCGGCCTTTTAGCACATACTATGTTGTGTCTGTACATGACCATGGGTAGATGACTCATCCTGTGTCAACAATTTCTCTCTGTCTCTCTCACTCGTTCTTAACTGTATTCATTCTGCTTCTCCCAAAAATATTCAGTAATGAGCAAATTTTGTTTGCAGTGCAATAATTGATCCATCATTCAATTTTCATCAGAATACTAAATATGAATTTCTTTGACTCCACTTTGATCTGTCCAGGCGCATGGCATCATGCATTATGACGGATAGAGATTTTCTCACAAGAGTGCTGTGAAAAATGAAGTACACTTTTACAGCTTCCAAGTGTGAGCACCTCTATAAAAGCAGACGTTTTGGCAGTTTGCTGGTTTTCAGCATTCAGGTCTTATCTTAGACTATAAAAGGCTCAGTGAGCATGTTAAAGTTCATAACAGTACAATTAGAAAAAGACTGAACAAGAATGGCTTGTTTGGAAGAGTTACGAGGAGAAAGCCTCCTCTCTTTGAAAACAAAAAAGTTATATCTGAACAAACCGCAAACTTCTGAAATAATGTCCTTTTGACAGACAAGACCAAAGTGGAGCTGTTTGCCACATTTGGTGAAAACCACCGAGTACAAACACCTCATACCTACTATCATGTGCGATGGTAGAGGGGTAATTATTTGGGCTTGTTATGAATCTGAATGCTTTTGTCAGCAATGAACTCCTCTGTACACCAAAGGATTCAAATGTGACATCATGTCTCAGCTACATCTCAAGATGCCACAATAATCCCGAGCACACCAGCAAATCTGCAACAGAATGGCTGAAAAAGAGCTGAATCCTGTGCTGTAACGACACAGTCAGAGCCCAGACCTCAGCGCTGTAAAGACTGTAGGACTTTAAGAGAGCTGTGCTAAAATGAATGCCAACAAACCTCAATGAACTTAAACAAGATTGTAAAGAAGAATGAACCAAAATCCCTCCATAATGATCTGTTTTAATGACGTTTTTCTCATCACTGTATATTACTCACAAACGTCTTTCAATGTAGCTAGAAAAGTAGCAACTTTGAAATTTGGTGTAGTGTCCACTAATTTATTGTACATTTAATGCACAGAGCATTAAGAAAAATCGATTCCTATTTGTTCAAATACTTGAATAAACAGCCAATGTTACAAAGAAACACAAGAAAAACCAATAATCCCGACAAAAACAGATGTGGTTTCTTTCCTATTGTTTTGCATGTCATCTAGTTATTCCCTAACAGTATCTGTTCAGTAGTGGAACACAATTACAGCAAGACAATCATGTGGAGCAATCTTTCCTGCTGCTATCTGAAACCCAAACATCAACAAACACGGAGGCAATTTTCACAACAAGGACTCTTATTGTGGTGATGCAGCCAAATAACAACAGTCTTAGGCTTGAACTTGAACTAAAACTAATGGAAAAAAATTTGGTTGCTGGAAAAGAAAATGATATTGATACTCGAAGAGGGCCGCGTCAAAACATTTCAAACGCACTGCCGTCACAATGATACGACAGCTGACAGAATGATGATAGCGTGTTAGCATGGAGTTAGTTTTCATTCAGTTACTGAATGCAGTTGCTCATCATTCATAGAGAAAGGTTGCTGCAGGTGCGGCTCTTTTACAGAGCGTGATGATTGTTTATTCAGCTCAGAAAATCTGAATTGGGATGGAGATCGTCAGTGTGGTTAGTGCGTATTATTTCAGGAATTCGGTGTAAAATACACTTCAACAGCTTTTGCCATCCACTCTCTTACACGGGGGAGCTTAGCTATTACACACCCTGCTCTGAATCCTCTAACTGCACCCTTTTACAGTAAAGCCGGGAACAACAGTAATCTTGTAATTGTAGCTTGTGTGTTTATGCTGCTGAACTATCTCTAAATATTGCTGTGCTAAATTTACCAGTGTAAGTTTGTGTGTTTGTTTTTTTTAACCCAAACCCAGAAGTAGTTTCTTATTAGGTCTGCTGGAGGCCTTATAATAGAAAAGCGGGAGCTCAAACGAAATAAAAAGATTGTAAATAGATAAAGCTGTGTTTTTATGCCATGGTTTGATAAAATATTGAGCTATATTATAAAAGGGTTTAGTGTTCATTCACACATCTGTGTTAAGCCACATGTCCCCACAGCTCCTCTGAGATTAAAAAGCTAACCTCATACCTGCCCCGCCCCAGGTTGTTGCAAGTGCAATGGAAACACTGACCCTGTTAAAACTTCTCAAAAACAGGTGTCAGTGTTGTGTAGCGTCATTAATTTTCTGGCCAGGCTTCGTATGCAGTTCTGCTACCACCCACTCAGCAGGCGTGCATGCTGAGTCAGAGAGAGTGAGCGAGGTGTCTTCGAGAGACTAACCTTTGGCTAGAATTAGGCCAGCGAAAAACAAAAGCAAATGTGATTTTTGGGCGCTGCAGGCAGCGTGTATGCAAGGCGGGGTAGAGAAGGTGGTTTGGGAAATGTGCGCAGGGTATAATTTCAAGATCAAAAAGTTGGAAATGAGCATTTCTGTCACAGAGTACCGACAGTAAAATATAGCAGAATAGAGAAGTAGCTAAAAAATAAACGACCAGTCCACTTTTTTTTGTTTTTCAGTTGTTTTTAAAATGTCATAATAAATTTAATCCCACTCTTTTCGAAGATAAATTTCGAAGCTTTCTGTTGTGCTGTAGGTGCTGGGTTGGATCCGTAATGGCGAGTCGATGCTGAATGCAGGTCTGATCACAGCCAGTTCCTTACAAGAGGCCGAACAGCTGCAAAAGGAGCACGAACAATTTCAACATGCAATAGAGGTACAAGAAACTCAGCTGCCTCATTTTTTTGCTTCTGTGTTTTTTGTAAAAACTTAATTCCCCGCCCTTCCCCCTTTCACCAGGTTTACCTTGATTCATTTTTCAAAGGTCTAGTTGCCTTTTCCATCCTCGCTTCTGCTCCCGTGTCGCTTTCTTGCCCTTCATCTTCCAACCTTTTGCTTTTCTAAAACTCTTTTTAAGGCTGATATCGCTGCACACGGCCTCTCCGTCTGATCACAAGTCAGCCATGAAATGGAATTATGAATAACCAGCGTCTATACCCCTCTCTTTCTTCTCTCGCTGCTTTTACCTTTCCCGCTTATTTTCCTTCTCCTCTTTACCCCTGATTATTCGGGGTGCATTTCTTTGAACTCTATTGAGACTGGTTCATTTTAATGCAGGCCTGTGCCTGACCTACTTCTACGACGCTGACATACATGCAACAATTCACACATAGAAGAACGTTGTTTTTTATTGTTGTGTAAGTCAGAGTGGAATTTTAACACATGCTGCACACCCCTGATTCCCACCCCAGCACTAGTGAAGGGAAAAAAAGCAATATCTTTCTTAATTGTACACAACAGATGCTTCAGACTTAAGACTTATCCCACAAAAATATTATCAAAGCTAGCAAGATATCCTTAATTTTTTTCTTTTGTTTATCCTCGACTGCCCCGAGTCCAGCAGGAAGCAAAAGCCTTACTCTCGGGCTATGCACTTTAACTCAAACATCACCAGATACAGTTTTTTTTGTTACCCTCGATCTCATTTCCTCTCCGAAATGCTCACTCTAGGACAGCCTTTATGGCACAGCTATAATCAGACACAGCTTTTGTTTATATTGCCTTTACTTTGTTGCTTCCCAGTTCACAGATCTCTACCAAAGTGCCCCGTGGGGCCAAGAGGAAGCTGAGGTCGAATTTTCAAAGCAATCGTTGTGATATACAGATTCATGTACCGCCTGAAATTCATTGTTTTTCATATCACCCTTCCCCTGCGTGCAGAAAACCCATCAGAGCGCGCTGCAGGTACAGCAGAAAGCTGAGGCTCTACTCCAGGCAAACCACTATGACATGGATATGATCAGAGACTGTGCAGAAAAGGTATTGTTGCTTTGTGTTGTCTCTGAGGGAAAATAGTGCGGGCAGTGCAGTGGCTGGTAAACTGATTTATTTTGTTTGACTTGAAGGTGGCAGACCACTGGCAGCAGCTGATGCTAAAGATGGAGGACAGACTTAAGCTGGTTAATGCTTCTGTGGCTTTCTACAAGACCTCTGAACAGGTATTATTGTTTGTGCACGTGAATGCATATGAGTGTGGGAGTGGGTGCCACAAAAGTAATATCTGATCTTAGTGTATGAGTAAGTTTAGTATAAATTTAAGTTTAAAAACATTCTCTTTCCCTGGTCAGCATCAGTCCCCAAAGTTAGTGCCTGCAGACTTACATTCGGATAAGAAAATTGCTTCCAGCAGCCCGAATTTGCACAGGTTGCATGAAAGTGTAGACCAGGAGTGGATTACTGAAGAGCAGGTGTTTTTTACAAACTGCACTGTGTCATCTGTGTCGTAGGTGTGCAGTGTGCTAGAAAGCCTCGAGCAGGAGTATAAGAGAGAAGAAGACTGGTGCGGTGGTGCTGATAAACTGGGCCCTAACAGTGAATCAGACCATGTCACTCCCATGGTCAGCAAACATCTGGAGCAGAAAGAGGCCTTCCTCAAGGTGAGAACGATGATTTTATTGCAAATACGAAAATAAACGTCAGCATTTTAGGGGGGTTAATGTGGCCTGGACTGATCCAGAATGGCATTCCTGACACAGTAATTAAATCTGACAGGCAGTTTAATGCAAAATAAGATCAAGTGAGTTCATTATTAATGTGCTGCCGCTTGTTGTTGCTAACAGCTGCTACTGCTGAGAAAGTAATGTTAGCCTTGATCCCATCTGCACAGTCTACACACATTTTATTTACTTTTTGTTCTCGTCAAGCGTACGCAAGCGTCAGTAAATGTTGGGCTCTTGGTATTTCAGCATCTAGCTATCAAGCCATCCATTTTTTTGCCACTTATGTGGGGCAGGGTTACAGAGGCAGCACCCTAAGCAGAGAAGCCCAGACTTCCCTCTTCCCAGCCAACTCCTCCAGCTCATCTGGTGGAACGAAGCATTCAAAAGGCAGACAAAAGACGTAACCCAGGACACCCACTCTAGCTACCGTGACAAAAAAGGAGCGAGAGTATTAGCAGTTACATTTTGAAGTGGCACATGTTAGTTAAAGGTAGTGTTTCCATGTTTGCAGGGAGAAAAAAAGAGCTAATGTGTGAGAAGTTCACTCAGAGATAGAGAAAGATGTACAAAAGAAAGATGAGAGACTGTTTTCAAAGGTAAAGACTGCTCAACAAGTGATGTTTGATAAATATAAATACATTTGGTAGCAAAAGGAAAAGTCCAACGTTGTACTGTCTAGTGCTTGTGAAACAGGCATGCTCGCCGCTGTGCTTCTACCCTGGATCTTAGGGTTCCAATTCCCATTGCAACCTCTGATTATAAGGATATGAATGTGTTGACCCGCTGAGTAACATTCGGGTTCTTTCTGCACAATTACAGGCTTGTACGCTAGCCAGACGCAACGCTGATGTTTTCTTGAAGTACCTGCACAGAAACAGCGTCAACATGCCTGGCATGCTGTCCCACGTCAAAGCTCCAGAGACTCAGGTTAAGAGTAAGTAAACACCTCAGAGATAACTGTCATCCTTTCTGGATCTCATTATTACAGTTTACAGGAATCATTACAAATGTTTTTTACACAGTTGGTATAAACCTAAGCCCCTTTCAGACATGCACTCATTGCCGTTAACTCGATGGCATCTTAACATCTCTTCATGTCTGATTGGAAAGTTCCCCAGAGCTTTTAAATAAAAGTCAGGGCAGTGGTCCTTCATATGTCACTTTCAAAAGAAAACAAGTCTGAATGCATGCAGTCACAGTGATAGATGTGTTCACTGAAAATTACAGCTGCACAATTCTCTCATCTAGGTTTATTGAAGCAGTAAACACATTTACATAATAGCATTTTGTCTCAACAACACTGCTGCTAATTTGCAATAAGATAAAAGACTGTGATGGACTTTTGCTATTCCCAGTCTGGGGGAGATCGCCCACTTCCTGAGTATTTGTGGGAGGGTTATAGCAATTTCTCACCTCTCTTTGATTACTGCACGTATACAGTGTTACACTAAACTAGAGTTTATGCTGACAGTGGCATAAATCCATCAGTGCCTTTGCATGTAAGGCTAATAACAAATGCACGAACATAAACATTAATATTAACAGATGTGTGAACTATTCCATGGTTAAAAAGGGCTTTTTTAAAAACTTCCCTGCAACAATTTAAATAATCCGAAAAAGTTTGAATTCAAGCCGTCAAATTTCTTTTCCTGCATTTGTTTGCGCGTTAAGCAGAAATTCGTAACCGACTCGAATAAACAAAGTGCTTGTGTCGATTCATCAGATATCTTGAATGAGCTGCTGCAGAGAGAAAACAGAGTGCTTCACTTCTGGACCATGAGGAAGCGGAGACTGGACCAGTGCCAGCAATATGTAGTGTTTGAACGCAGCGCCAAACAGGTGTGTGCTTGTTTATATGTGCAGTGGGAATAAGCACAATCTGATCATGAGGCTCAGCAGATAACTGCATTGTGGTGTTTGATTTACTGCAGACTGAGAAGTAGAAATAAGCCTCGTGTTTGGAGTGGGAGTATATCAGCATATTCGTTTTGTTGGCGAGCAGCTGCAACTTCCATCTTGTTTTGTCTCTCTTTTTGAATTAAACAATGAGTTATTGTTTCTTTATAATGGCACATTATAAGTGCTGCAAACAGGCAGTGATATGTATAAATGTCTTAAGGATGGCTACCATTATGTGGCACAGGACATATAAAGGTTAGAGTTACTGGAAAGCATTTCCAAAGCATCTCTTCAACTCTTTTTTCCCCCCCTACATGTCAACCCGACCTTGGGAAGCTTTTCTGTGAAGAATAAGAGAACTGAGCTAGACCACAGTTCCAAAGAACACTCAATATTTCCCATTCAATCAAGTCTCACTTTGAGAAAAGTTTGGTTAATATTGTTTGCAGTAGCAGGCGGGATGCCCTTACACTCTACAAACTGAGCTCATAACTGGAATGCTTTATTTAAACATGGCATGAGAGAGCCAAAGCAAGTTTGAATCTGCACTCTATTTTCCTGTACTAGGGCGCCTTAGGTTGTTTAATATAAGCCACTTGGCTCCCTCTTGTGGTGTTCGGGTGTATGCACGGACCAATTCTCTTAGCCAATAAAGCCAGATGACATCGTGCGTGTTTCTAGGACATGGCTATTCTAGGCTGGTCCAGGTTTTATCCCCAGGGCCCAGGGCTTGTTTCTGGTCTCACAGTTTGACTGGACCAGTTCTGCCATCACTGGTTGGGAGGTAGACCCAGTTTTAAAGTACGCAAACACTAATAAGGATAGAAATTAAATAGGACATATTTTAAGTGAATGCTAGAAATTTAGGAACTGACTAATTATTTTAATACGTGTTAAATGATTGGATCTGGAGGGAAACCAAAAAACATAAAATGATGCATAATATTTCCATGTCTTGTTATTTTCACAAGGTCATACTGATGTCAACTTTCCTCATCCAGAAGTCCCATGAATGTGATCGTAGGGAATTATAAAGGGAGTCTTAGAGGCGATCTGAATGGCAGAAAATACTACTGAGAGACCACAATCAGTTTAAACACAAGAATTATTGTTAGTTTAAATATACATATACATACTACATAATACACTAAGGGTTTATTTTTATATGTTCTTGTAGTTTTAAGTGCATTAGGTCCTCAGATTTGGGTAGTCTGTGTTAAACTAAAATCCCTTCACTGTATACATACTCATTTGTGATTGGCTGTTTCCTCAGGCCCTGGAGTGGATCCATGACACTGGGGAGTTTTACCTGTCCACTCACACATCCACCGGGTCGAGCATTCACCACACACAGGAGCTACTGAAGGAACATGAAGATTTCCAGATCACAGCAAAGGTATGTGTGTGTACATTTGTCTGTTTATTTATCCATAAAAGAAGGAGGACGAGCCTGTTTGCAGTTTTTTTCCTACCTGCTACTTACTGGTTGCGTTGCGTGTATATTTGCACAGTCTCACCCTCTGCTGTGAGGCCCTTTCCCAGGGCGGCATATTGTCCTGTTTCCTCTTTACTGTGTCGCTGTTATTATGTTAGGGAGCAGTCTATTGTGTCCATCAGGCAACACACTGTTTCCTAACACTCTCTTTCTTTTTCTCTGCCATCTACCTTTCCTCTGTATGGCCATCCCTCTCCACTCTGTGCCCCCTCCCTCTCTATTGACAGCAAACCAAAGAGCGGGTAAAGCTGTTGATCCAGCTGGCGGATGGGTTTTGTGACAAGGGCCACGCCCATGCCTCGGAAATAAAGAAATGGGTGTCCTCGGTGGACAAGCGCTACAGGGACTTCTCTCTCCGCATGGACAAATACCGAACCTGCCTGGAATCAGCGCTTGGCATTTCTTCCGACTCAAACAAAGCCGTGAGTGCCCATCGCTGATAACACCATATCTGATCTTTCAAGCAGCTTTAAAAATGAAATTGCACGCATATATTTGCGAGATATAACTATGCGTTATGACCGTTTGCTTCGACTTTCAGCTTTTCAAAAATCATTTTGTGCTTGATGGGATTAACATTGATATAGCCCAAATAAACTACACCTGGGCTGAATCCTGTTTGTTTAGCTGCTGATAAATCACCCACTGGTGTGTGGAACTGCTGAGTGACTGATGTGGCCTGTTGTGCACCACATAATAGCCCTTGGCTCCTGTGTTTTCAGAGTAAAGAGTTGCAACTGGACATCATTCCAGCCAGTGCTCCAGGGTCAGAGGTCAAGTTGCGGGACGCTGCCCATGAACTCAATGAGGAGAAGAGGAAATCAGCACGAAGGAAAGAGTAAGGGCAGCAGACGGGTTGATTTTCCGCTTATTTCCCGGGACATAGGTTTCAGGCACATCATTTCCAGCTAACATATAAAAACATTTTCAGCTTTTTCAGTGCTGTTGACAATATCTAGCTTGAGGTTAGCTTTCATTTTATATTTACTGTTAAGTAATGTGTAAATTCATGTTAAATAATCCAAACTTCATGTAAATATCATCCTGATTACCTCAGATTCATTCAAGTGTGTACAAAAACAGTTTATAGTGCACAACGACACAGAGTTATGAGCTTTAATGGCACAACTTTGTGTTGCTGATGCTGTAAAAAATATCTGTTGTAACTACTCATAAGCAGCTATAAGCAAGGGGAATTATAATGCTTCCACATAGAGCTGTTCTATGTGTCTTTCCTTGTTAACCAATTTTTTTGTAATATTTACACACACACGGATTACTTCTATCATACCAATTGGTTTGTTTAACTCATGAAGTCATCTTTAAGAAACAAAAAGGTACAGGTTTTACAAGCACATCTGTGGATATATTGTTCATAAAATCCTTTAATTTCTTCTTCTTCGTTTCTTCTAAAGTGTTGATCTAAATTGCAGTCTTTAATCTCTTCAGAAATCCTTTTGTTTTTGAGTTATATTTACTTGCATTTTGTCAGTCACAGCAGTGTGCCGTGTGCATCACTTTCTGTATTTCCCAATATTTATATCGTTTCAGATTTATAATGGCAGAGCTGATTCAAACAGAGAAAGCCTATGTACGAGACCTACGGGAGTGTATGGATGTAAGTATTGTAACAGACGCGAGTCTTCACTAAACAGCTGAAAACGCATCTTTTTAAACTTTCTCATAGGTAGCTTTTTGTTCATACTTTTTACTCTTTTTGTTGTGAAGCACTTTGATGTTTATCTTGAAAGGTGCAATATAAATAAAACTTTACGCATTTCATTCTTTGTTCTTGAATTATGACGATATTTTTCTTTAAAATGATTTCCATTTGGTTACACTGCCAGTTTACTTTTTCTTTAAGCTAGACACAAGTCTAGGTGATGAATTAATTATTCTGTGGCGTGCGCGTCTGTGCAGACCTACCTGTGGGAAATGACCAGCGGCGTGGAGGAAATTCCTCCTGGTATTGTCAACAAGGAACACATCATTTTTGGGAACATGCAGGACCTCTATGAGTTTCATCACAAGTCAGTAGTGCATTATTTTGTGACACTTTGTTTTCCTTACCATCAATATCGGTTGATTTAAAAAAAATCATTGTTAGGTGCAGTGAATCCACAGTTTGACCCTGAAATTTGACCGTCTACCTTTTCCTCTTTCTGTACAGTATTTTCCTGAAGGAGTTAGAAAAGTACGAGCAGCTTCCAGAAGATGTCGGCCATTGTTTTGTAACCTGGGTAAGAGATAAACTTGCACCTTAGTAATTTGTTTCTTTCTACACTATGTTAAATGCTAAAACATGACATAGTACAATAGTCCATTTCTTCTAAAAAGGTTTATGTTTTATCCATATCTCTGGTGAATAAATACTGCTGTTATTTTTCCTGCTAAGGCTGATAAGTTTCAGATGTATGTGAACTACTGTAAGAACAAGCCAGATTCAACTCAGCTCATCGTGGAACATGCTGGACCCTACTTTGATGTAAGATATTACCAACAGCATTAATCTTTTCTGTTCATCCTCTGGGAGTAGAAATACTAAATTTGCATTTTATATCTGAAATTGACTCACTTTGAATCATAATTAATTTAACTCTCATGGTTTCTCTGTGTGCCGCATGATTTAGAATGAATGAAGCACTTTCCTGTAAAAGTGTCTTTTTCCTTTTTCAATTTACAGGAAATTCAGCAAAGACATCGTCTCGCAAACTCTATCTCCTCTTACCTGATCAAGCCAGTCCAAAGAATCACAAAATACCAGTTGCTTCTAAAGGTAGAGCATACATTTAAATGAATCTTAAGAAGGTTTTGCATTTAAATGCCACTGGATTGACACGTTTGTGTGCTCCACTGTAGGAACTGTTAACATGCTGTGAGGAAGGAAAAGGGGAGATCAAGGATGGCCTGGAAGTGATGCTCAGTGTCCCCAAGAGAGCCAACGATGCCATGCACCTCTCTATGCTGGAGGGTGGGTATACATATCTGTACATCTGCCAGTATGTTTTTCTTTGCTTGTCTGTAGCCAGTGACTGAACTGTAGCCAGTGACTGAACTGTCACTTTGCTTTTTTGAGAGAAAACGAAATATGTTGCTCACTTTTATAGTCAGTTGTATTTCTGACTAAGCTGTGAGTCAGAAGTAAATTATTTCAACTTGCCTCCTACAAACATATTTGCATTTACTGCAGAAACAAGAAAGCCCCCTTAGGTGATTCTTCCCTGATTTTCCTTTCACTACCTCAGGATTTGATGGAAACATCGACTCCCAGGGAGAGCTGATACTCCAGGAGTCCTTCCAGGTCTGGGATCCTAAGACTCTTATCCGGAAGGGTCGGGATCGACACCTCTTCCTCTTTGAGATGTCTCTGGTCTTCAGCAAAGAAGTGAAAGACTCTAATGGGCGCAGCAAATACCTCTACAAGAGCAAGCTCTTTGTAAGAATTGTTTTATCCGGCTGTACTGAGTGGATCCACGCCAGGTCCTTTGAGACACCTGTTGTTTTTATCTGGGTTACAAGGCTGTTATCACATATTTTTATGCCTCTGTGATGGCAACGGTTGTGGCTGGAGACAGAATGCTTCTCAGTTGCCCCTACTTCTATGAGTCAGCCTGTTTGTCCGCCGCTCCCATTTTGAACTTGATATCTCTCGATCACCTCGAGGGAATTCTTTCAAATCGTACCATTCACTGTGACCTTGGCCATAACGCTGAATATGTCTAAATTAGACACAACTGCATATAAAAATAATATGAAGTAATGATAAAGATGTTAAGTCTTAAAAAACTTAGCAGAAGAATGCAACTGTAAGATGGTAGATCTGAGATATTTTTATATTTCGTCTAATTTATTTGCACATTTTTCATCTCATCAGACGTCAGAGCTTGGAGTGACAGAACATGTGGAGGGAGATCCTTGCAAGTTTGCCCTCTGGTTGGGGAGGACCCCAACCTCAGACAACAAGATTGTTCTGAAGGTATGAAGATGTTGACTTCGATGGGTTATGGAAAGAGTCATTGCAATCATATTTATTTTAACAGTATTTTAATATTAACCAACAGATTTACTGAAAGCCTTGAATATTATAACAGATCTGATGTAATCATTTTAGAAGTAATCCTCTTGCAAAAAAGCTTTTCTAGCATTGTTACTATAAAGTTGTGTGAAGAAAGTTTTCATAGGGCTCTATACAGTACAGTGAAAAACTAAGTACACCCTTACTGCTTCCATGGGAAATAAGAGAGTAAAAAGCAGCCAAGTGCTGCTAATCACAAGTACTTGATTAAATGACCAGTGAATGTGAGCACTTCCATAAAACCAGCTGTTTGAGTGTTGAAGTGTGTGTTAATGCAATCTTCCCAAGAGTGTGGCTATCCCAGCAAATTCAAACTAAGAAACTAAGGTCAGATTATGCTCAAACTTAAAGTTCAACTGGAAAATAGCTGAACAAGTGTGGCTTGTGCTGAAGCATTGCCAGGAGAAAACCTCTTCTCTCTAAAAAGAGCATGGCTGCAGAGCTTAGGTTTGCAAAAGTTGCATCTGAACAAACTACAAGACGTCTGGAACAACGTCCTTTGAAAATGGAATGAATCAAGGTGTTTCAGTGGCTCAGTCAAAGTCCAGATACCAAACTAACTGAAATGCCGTGGCAAGACCTTAGGAGAGCTATACATAAACACATAAACCTCAATGAAGTGAAGCTACATTGTAAAAAAGACTGGGGCAGATTTCCTCCGCAATTATGTGTGAGACTGAAGAAGTCAAACAGTTCAAGTTATTGGTGTTAAAAGTGGTTCTACAAGCCGCTGAATCTTGGGTGTGCTGTGTTTCTCAGAGGAATGCATAAAGTCCTGTGAAAACGCTCTTTTTCATATGGATGTACTTCTCATATGATCACAGGAAGTGGTAAGGTTTTTGATACATGAAGAAGTGTTACTTCATGTCTATAGTTCATCCTCACTAAATCCTCCCTGGCTCCTTTTGTTCAGCCAACAAAGTTCAGTCCCTGTAAGGGGGTGGAGTGTTACTTTCTGCTACTTCTTCACTCATCACATTAGCATAGCAGTTGATGGGTCATAATCCAAACCTCACAAGCGACTTGGTAATTCTCACGCAGTGAGTCAGAAGCAATGTTTTATGCATGCTGTGTGTGTGTAGATATGCGTTTGCTTTTTGAGACTGACACAGAGAAAGGCTCCCGGGGTGTGTTACGATTTGGCAATGTGTGCTGTACAGCTTTCTGTCTTATTACATAACTTCTGATGATCATCTTAAACTGTATCTTATATAACTCGGCTCCATGGCAGTCATGGTCCTGGTTGCTAAGTGAAAAAGGAAGGGAAGACTCAAATGAGGGTGGTTATAGGATGAAAGCTGCATCTACACATTGAATCTGTGACGTAAATAAACACAGTAATAGACCGTGGTTGCTTTTTGGGGCTCTGAGTGAATATGTGCTCATCATATAGACATGTGAGTCAAGTTAAAGACTGCAGGGCTTAAGCACACTGTGGGAAGAGAGAGAATTAAAATAACTAAATTAGGCCTTATTTGTAGACCTGTGTTTTTCTTGCTATTAATGCTGTCATTGTATTTAAAAAAGAGAAAACAGTACTGTGCACTTAAGAAACTTTGAAATCTAACATATATCTAACCCAGTTATCTGTTATGCACCAGGCTTCAAGTATTGAGAATAAGCAGGACTGGATCAAACACATTCGGGAAGTCATACAGGAGCGAACAATCCACCTGCGTGGAGCTCTGAAGGAACCCATCCACATCCCTAAAGCCACCACAACTAAACACAAAGGCAGAAGGTGAGCTAAAAGTAGATTACTGTCAGGCAAAAAAAAGAAAAGAAATCAGTTTCATGATAATGCCTAGAAGCATTTCAGCCGAACAAAACTATATGGCGTGAAGATAGCCCTATAGGGTAAATGTCATGTTTATTGGTCATAGTAATTATGGGTCTGCTGTAATGATGCCTGCCTGCAGGGATGGAGAGGAGCTGGACAGCCAGGGAGACGCCAGCAGCCAACCTGATACCATCTCTATTGCCTCACGTACGTCCCAGAACACACTGGACAGCGATAAGGTAAAAACACAACTCACGCGGACGTTCGTCATAACCAGTATGTAAGGGAAGCACTTTAGCCACATTAAAAATAGTCAGGTTTTCAGTGCTATTTCTTTCTTTTTTTTATTTTTTTATTTTGTCCTGTCTTACTGTGCAGTTCATGCAGTCACATTGCAGCTCTGCTGTCGATTAATGCTGTCACTCAGTAATACGATTGTAAAAAAAAAAAACACAAAACAAATGTGCAAAATGCTTAGATGCAGTCGACTGTCCTCAAGTCGTTTCCTGTGAAATTGTTTGATTGTGTTAGGAGGAAGAAACAGCCCGACTCTCAGAGCTTTAAAGCGGCATGTGTGTGTTTGTTTTTTCGTGTGTATTTGCGCTTGTGGCTGTGGTTATATCTGGTAATAGCACCACAGAAGGCTTGTCCTCCTACGCTCAGTATGATCAACTGTAAAGCTAAAAAACATGCAGCACACACACACAGATAAAATAGCCTCCCCGTACGTTTATCTCGTACTAATTATAAACTGATCACTGGACTCCTGCATCGGTTCCTTATTTTCACGCTTGAGTTGCAGTCGTTTCACATGACCCAAATGTGAAATTTTAATGGTCGAGGGGGTGAGGAGCATCCGCTGAAGTCTAAACTATCACAGACACTGATTAATTAGTCACAGCGCCTCAGTTTAGGCAGCAGTCACATGCATACACATTTGAAACACAGTAACACCTGCAAATTCAAATTAGCATCTCATTCTCACTTTTTGAATGCATCTCTTTATCTCTCGCTTTGTGCGGACTCCGTGAGACGTTTCATTCAAGGGGAAGTGACAGTGGCGTGTTTGTGTTGCCGTGTGTGTGCGCGCTCGTGTTCCTGTGTGCGTTTCAGCTCTAGTGACTGACTTGTTGTGTGTCAGCAGCTTCAGCCTCCCACGCTCACTTCACAGAGGATGCTCGTCTGTATGCCAGACAGGAGAGCACAGTTTTAAGTCCTCACAGCTATCGATCTTACTCTTTGCTTCAAAATACAGGCTACCACAATGTTTTTACCGCTAATTTTCCCGGTGTGTGTGTTTTGTTTTTCGTGATGAAAGGTTCAGTGTGAAAGTAATTGTTAAAAGACACGGGTGGATTAATTGCGCCGCTTCTGGAAAGTGACACAAGAGAAGGAATCATTTAATCTTCAATAGTCTGATTGTAAGGACCCACAGAGGAGTGCAATTACAGTGGACAACAGGAAGTTTTCTACTGGCTTTGGAATGTTGGGATCAGGAATTCTAATACTAATTGAAAATGAATGATTATTCCTCTTTTTCAACTTCTACTTACCTGCTTCCCTGCATTCCCTTAGTGTGATTCGAACTTTAGTGGACTGAGACACAGATAACTCTGCTCTGTAGAGTTTTTCTATCTTTTTTTGGAACTTTTCTTGCAATGAGGGAGTGGAAAACAATGGACAGGTTTGGAGAAAGGAGCTCACATCCCATTTCTCAGCTCCTAAGCTCTCTGGCTTTGCCCCACTACCAAAGGGTATGTTTCAGATAATCTGCTTTGCTTTGCCGTGACAATTAATGCAGTGCAGTGTGCTGTGAATAAAATATTGAGCAATAATATATGCTTTGAAAGACTCAAATGGAAGCGCACACAAGCAGTTAGAGCAGTTGTAAGTATTGGAAAACATGGGACGTTTTTACAGTATTTACAGAGTTTTACAGAGTATTTACACTGCAGAGTGTGTAGCTAATGACTTCTGCATGACTTCACTCCATTTCCAAGACTTTTCATCCGTTGCTAATAATTTTTATGTTTAACATAAATAAACACAAGTTTTCCTTTTTGAAAATGTGTCATTCAAAGATGACAATTATACTCCCAGTGATTACTGAACTACAGCATTAAAAACAGAGAATGTCCATTGCAACAATTATAGTATTAATATATTAATTGTTTTCAGGTCTGTATTTCCCAGAATTGTAATTGCATAAAACATTTTAAATGTTCTATCTTATCTGCTCACCCTCTGTGCCTCCACAACAGATCAAAGCATCATTAGCGACTAGCAGCTGCTTTTTCACTCACACGTTAAAAGGACAAACCTTTTAAAATAACCAGTGAGAAAAATGACTAATCCCGACTCGCTCCACCTCTACCTAAAATTGCCTTTCCTTTCATAGACGATCACGTCGTCAGAATGACGTTTTATTCGGTTGAGCTTGGATGAGTCACCGGTTCATTCTTACACTGTACAGAGCTTCTTGAGTCCCTGTGCTGTTAGCACATGATATTGTGTGGGCACATCTGCTTTACAGTTATTAATTAATTGCCGGAGAAAGTTTTATTGCAGGGTTATTATTTAACATCGAGCAAGTGTTGGTGATAAGATTAATAAAATGCAGAAAACTACTCAGAAATGTTTATGTGTATTCAATGAGGCAATAATGGATTGTTTGGAAATTTTGCTACACACTAGCCTAACACCTATTAATATGGAGGTTATCCTCTTGAAAAAACATTCAGAGTACTGTTGTTTCCCTTCCAGCTCTCTGGTGGCTGTGAACTCACAGTGGTCATACACGACTTTGTGGCCAGTAACGGCGGAAGCAACGGGGAGCTGACAGTCCGCCGCGGCCAGACTGTTGAGGTTTTGGAGCGACTGCACGACAAGCCGGACTGGTGCTTGGTCCGGACCACGGATCGCTCGCCAGCCCAGGAGGGCATTGTGCCCTGCTCCATGCTCTGCATCGCTCACTCCAGGTCCTCCATGGAGATGGAGGGCCTCTTCAACCACAAAGGTAGGAGGAGAATAATTTCTTGGCTTATTACAGGTGCACTGAATGATGTTTTTTGATGTTTGTTTTTTCGCGAAGCACATCTGAACACTTAAAAACAGCTGCTCGTCGCATACATGCACGAGCATGGACATATCGGATTCGGTTCCTGTTTGCAAATACAACATCGCTGACCCGTAGAGCCTTCACTTTCCATTACACAGCTGCTTCGGGGAACACAGACATGTATTTCTAGGTGTTGCTATGCAACTGTGGAAGGCCCACTTGAAGCACAGCAGTTTTTTTTTTCATTAGACTCTTTTTTTTAAACTTTTTTCATTAACAATTTTACCATTGACAGATGTTATTACTGTCAGAAAACCTCATTTTGTCCTTGTGTTGGTGCCTTTGTTCTTATACCTGACATATTTTGGCAGAAAAAACACATTTCGAATGGATTTTCTCAATCTGTATGTATTAACACCAAAGCCCTTCTCAAACTAAGTCTAGTCATTCAGCACTCGCCATGTAAGACTTCCAGGAACTTATTTGGGTTGTTATTTGAAGCATTATCTAACACGTGAAGTTGGGCAAAGGACATAAAAACTCGAAGTCTCAACACTGATGAGGGATTGTGGCCGGGATTGTGCAGGCACACAGAGAAGGAGGTACTTCCTCTGAAGGTATTAGATCCAAAAATACACCTATAGCCTGATGGTTCTAAAATAAAATATTTTTTTCCTGAAGTAGGGGCTTGTAGGTCTGCAGCAAAAAATGACACACACAATGAATCCCACTATCCTTACAAGTTATTAATATTTAATTATACTTGTAGCACCAAAAAAGAAGTGCTCATCAATTGGAGTGGCCCTACTCTTACCTTAGCATAAATTACATTTTGCTGTTGGCAAAAGTGGCACTAATTCAGAGTTTTCGATACTACCATATAGCCTAAAGGAAAGCAGAACATATTCCTCAGAACTGTACTGTAGCACATAATTTTGCTTAAGGACTTTCCACCAATGCTAATGCTGCATTGCTGTAAAACATGCATGCTTTTAGTTTAATTAGTCACACTGTGACTTGTAGCTGGCTTAGCTAGATGCTTTATATTCATTTTTTTCTTATGTGAATATATCATAGGGTTGTCTAGTTATTGCTGTGAACTGTTGTTCTTTTGACCAAAACACTCATAATCCAAGCTGTGATCAAATTTCACGTAGCCAGTTGGAGTTATGAGCTGCTGTCATCATGTCTTGAGAGAAGTTTCTGCTTGTGCCTTTCTCTTTTTAATCTGGAAGAGTGGGTGAGAGGTGGACTGCTTGTTTCTATGATGATATAGCATACAAATATTTTGCTGGCAGCGTCTTTGTAGTCAGTACGAGAAAGGTCTGCATTTAAAATTAAAGGATGCTTGGATGGTGAATACAGGAACTAACAATTTTGGCATTAGCTGAATGATTTACTAGACCGCCACGAGAAGAAAGCTACAATTTTCCAACCAATTATTTTACGCTTTCAACTCCAGCTCTTTGTTTGTCATCCTTACTTTGTTTACTGGGACTCGTGTTTCTTGTCCGTTTGTCACTGTGTGTTTGTGCGGTCAGAGGGGGTGATGAAAAGGAGCCTTTCTCTGCAGGGGTTACTCTCGTCAGAAAGGCTGCTGCTCAAGAGGAGGGAGACAAGGATGACAAAAAAGGGGGGAAAAAAGCTTTTTGTGCAGTTTTTGTCAGCCTTTTTTTATTTACAGACCAACCGTGGATGCCGCTTTGTCCAAAGTGGTGGAAGGGTGAAAGTTTAGGGGATTAGGGTGGTCGTCCAGGAAATCTCCCATTTTTCTTGTCATGTCTCACAATCATAGACTGTACGTTAAAGGTAAAAATGTGTATAGATATTCACCCTGACATTTCATCCAGTGTTCTTTGGAGGCATTTTTTTTTAATCATCAGCTTATGCTCGTCGAAACCTTGAGTTTTCAAGACTATTTTGAGCAGGAATGTCAAACACATTTTACATCGTGGGCCTCCTACACTCCACTTTGAG